AATTGAACTGAATGAAGTAGATTAGATTATAAACTAATAGTTGACAATAATTTATTTTTTATTGATTAATATAAAAATAAATAAATTTTTTTTATAAAAAATAAATATTGTTAGTAATTAAAAGACAAAAGGGTTAATTTATTATTAAATTTTGAATGAACTATATTTACTTTTTTTATTGATTAAATAAATATTTGTTTATTTTTTCATTAAAAAAATAAATATTGTTAGTAACAGACAAAAGAAATGAATTTATTATTAAATTTTGATTTCATTGAATTGAATGAACTAATTTAAATAGTAAGCTAATAGTTAACAATAATTTATTTCTTTATTGAGTTAAAAAATATTTATTTCTTGATTAATAAATGTTTATTACTTCATTAAATGAATGTTTATTTCTTCATTAAAGAAATAAATATTGTTAGTAATTAAAGAGGAAAAAAATAAAAATTTTAATCCGGAAATTCAAAAAAACGTAGCAATTGTGTTTCAAAGCTTTTCCTTGTCATCGTTTATTTTTATCAAAACGTTTTACCTAAAACTCCTAATCTGTAGTTTATTGTGACAACAACTACACCTCCATAGCTGGCTAATACACTTCCATCATAAGGATTACCACTGCTCCATTCGTAGCTCTCTCCATGAATAAATACAATTACTGGATATCTTTTGCTAGCAATATCTCTCGAACCAGCTAAAAAAAAGTTCAAAATTTCATTTTGTTTCGAAAATAATTATTTTCAAACATTTCTTTTTTTTTCTTTTCTCATTCACATTTCACATTCTCATTAAGAAATAAAATTTTTTCTTACCTTGCACTGGAGCGTAAATATTTAGATAAAGACAATCTTCGCTCTGATTTTTCAAATAGGGAAGAATACGTCGAAGATAATCGAGTCTTCCTTTTGGAATTTTATCCGTTAATGATGGTAATTTTTGTGGGCAAACTGGTCCAAATTCCTCGGCAACTTTAACGCCTTGCCAAATTGCACCGCTGACAGGTGGCATAAATCGAAGTGAACCAACGGGAGGCGATGCATAGGGAACACCGCGAAACACTTCAACACTTTCCATATTACGTCCAAGTGAAATAATAACACCCGATAATTCTCCATTGTTTGTTTTAACAATTCGTGAACTTAAATTTGCATTTACAAAAGTCCATAAAACGATGAATAATCCTAAATATAATGAAACGATCATTTCGATTCTTTTCCAATAGTGACAATTTTTATCCTCATTTTTTTATTCCTTTATATCGTTAGAAATAATTTTCATGTTAATACATTGTTTAATTTTATTTTTGAAAAATAATTTTCCCTAAGAATCGTATATTGTAAACTTTCGTTACATCCTTTTGTTGACGTCATAGTTTTTTTTATTCTTCTATATTTAAATATGTAGAAATGGAAATTTAGAGAAAAATTTAGCAATTATATATTTTTCATTTCTCTATTGAAAATTGATGAAGCTTCACAATCCTCGGGCGTTGCCTTTTGTTTTATTTGGGGAGATAAATTTATTTTCTTCTTTAAAAATCTATTATAGCACGTTCTTCTACGATATTATTTATATATTCTTTGAATGTAATTAACGTTCATAATTTATTTTTTTTTTCTTTATGTTTAACTCATCTAAATATTGTTTCTAAAATTTGGATATATTTATTAATTTTTAATATATATTTTATATTTTTCAACTATTTGGTTATTAATTTAGAACTCATTTCTATTATTTATTTTTATAATAATTATTAACTGTTAAATCACTAAATCACGAATGTTTGAAATATTTTACTTTTTTTTAATTGAATATTTATCACATAATTTTTTAAAACAATTCCTCGTTTCTTGAAAAAGGGAAAAATGCTCTTTTCTTATAGTTATAGAGTCTATTTTTTTTTTAAATTAATAATTATTGGGGAAAATTCACATTTTGATATTTTATATTCACCGAACGTATACAAGGAGAGATGAAGCGTTCTGTCATTTCGTTTAATTGTTTATTAATCACTAACATAGAACTAGCACCAGATGACATTTTTGGCGAATTTTGAATTTAAAACTCATTTTTTTAATAAGATTGTTTCAGGTGAATGTGAGAAATCGAGAGAGTGGGTACCTTTTTCAAGTTTCTTCCATATTAAAAAGGAAAAAAATGGGATTCTTGAATTTTGACTTATCAAAATGTTATACCCTTACTTTGACCCCCGATAAACTAGCGTATAAGCAAAAAGATCACGCACAAAGCTATGAGCATGCGTCATTTTACACAATCTCACATCTCAGTAAAAGGGTGGAAATACTTGGTACATGGGGTCGATAAAACAGAAGAGAGGATGTAGGTCTATCGCACACACAAAAAATTGCGTACACGAATTTCCCTCTTTTTTTGGGCTTTCGTGAGAATCCTTGAAAAATTAGTTCGAATCTTACATCTTAGATTTCACTTTTCGAAATTCTCTTCCAGCAAGATTAAGATTTCTTATTTTTCTTCTTCTTTTTCTTTTTTCTGCTTGACGAAGGTACTCGATAAAAAAGTGGATTAATTAATCACTGTATCGGAAGGGGATGAGATGGAATTTTTTTTTTTATATTTTATATAATGGAAAAAAGTTTTACTACACAAAAAGAAACACACAAAAACACAAAAAACGCTAAAAAAGACAAAAAAAAAGGACAAAACAACACAAAAAATGTTAAAAAAACATCAGAAAATTCCAAAATACTCATAAAATATATTTTTATTAAAATATTTTATCTAGAATTTAATTTCCGGAAATTAAAATTAAAAGTCAGCTGAAAAATTCTATACAAATTGGGTTTAATTAAATACAAAATATTTCTATTCATATTATAAGCAGCAGAAGTAATTTAATTAATTAAAATGGAATTTAATATTTGAGTATTATAAATTTGGATAAATTTGAAATAAAGTAAAATTTTAATGAAAATTCATAATTGAAAGATTTGGATTAATATTAGATTTATAAATTTCGATTGAATAATTATAATTTCGATTGATTACATTAGTGAAACAAATATAATTCGCGTATTTTCTCTAAAGATTAATTCATAAATAATTAAAAAGCTTTCGATATAATTATTGTTTAAATATTCCCTTTAACTAATTTCGCAAAGTACGGCTTTTTTAATTACGTTTATTATTAATAACAATTTAATTATTTTCAAAAGTTTTGATAACATTTTGTATAAGAATTTAGTTATTTTCAAAAAATTAAATGATATTCTTCATAAGAAATCAATTATTTTTAATACAATTTTAAAGAAATTTCTCGAAAAGATTCAATTATTTTTTTTAAATTTACACAAAATTTTTTAAAAGAAATGAATTATTTTAATAAGTTTTGATAAAATTTTATTATAAGAATTCAATTATTTACAAAAGTTTTTATCAAATTCTTCGCAAGAATTCAATTATTTTCAAACTATTTAATAAAATTCTTCTCTAGAATTGAATTATTTTTTTATAAAGAATAAAATTCTTGGCAAGAATTCAATTATTTGTTTTGTAAGTAATAAAATTCTTCACACTAATTCAATTTATTTTAAAAATTTTACTAAAATTCTTCTCTAGAATTGAATTATTTTTTTGTAAATAATAAAATTCTTCATAGAAATTCTATTATTTTAAATACATTTTTAATAAAATTTCTCAAAAAGATTAAATTATTTTTAAAAAACTCACAAAAATTTTTCAATAGAAGTCAATTATTCTCAAAAGTTCCGATAAATTTTTTTAAATCAATTCAATTAATTATTTATAAAATAATTTTATAAAATAATTTTGAGTACAATTTTTATAAAATTTCTAAAAAATAGAATTGAAATAGAATTAGAAATAGAAATAAAATAGAATTTTGAAATAGAATTTCAAAAATTTTAATAAAATTTTTGGAAGAATTCAATTATTTTCAAAAATTCTAATAAGTAAAATAAATAAAAAGTAGAAACTTAAATAAAAATTTAAATCACTTCCTTTGGGGAACAATTGTCGAAATAAATATATCTTCTTTGTGATGATTAAGCTTCGAGAAACCTGCAATAGCTTTTAAATAATCAATTTTTATTGTCTTTTTAAAAATATAAATAAATAAAACATATTTTTTTATTGTCAGTGTATGATGAACTTAAATGTTTCGAGTGAATTTTTAAAGAATAAAATGTAAATTTAATTATTAACATAATTCTTAACTAAATTTAGAGATTTTTCTTTGTTATTTATTTACTATTCTATTACTATTCTACTACTAATTTTACTGCTATTTTACTACCATTTCACTACTATATAGCAATAATATTATTGCTATTTATTTAAATTTTCTCAACTATGATATTTTTTAAATTCTCAATTTGAAATATACATTTTGTCATAAAGCGATTTATTTTTCCATATAATTATAAAAATTATTTTTTCAGAGATAATTTCTCATTCAAATTTTAACACTTTTATTATCTTCATTGTTTTTTTTTATCTATATTTTTGAAAGAATAGTAATTTTCGTTAAATATAGAAATTTATATACTTTCATTAATTTTTAATCATTCTCCGAGTTTTTCATTGTCTTCCAAAATGTTTTCTTTGGCTTTTTTTAGCTAATTGGTTAAATTAATTGTTAATTCTACAAATTTATTGATAATTTTTCAAACTAATTGTTAATTTTTCAAACTAATTGTTAATTTTTTAAACTAATTGTTAACTTTTTAAACTAATTTGACTGACAATTGTCAGTATTCTAAAAACATTTTTTTTAATTTCAAAAACTATTCAAATTAATTAATTTTTTAAAGCAATTGTTAATTTTCTAACTAATTTTCAACTTTTTTAAACTAATTGTCAATTGTTTAAATTAATTGCCAGTGCTCTATTAACATTTTCATTAATTCCGAAAAATTCACTTGACTTTAAGCGAATCATCACATTTGGAATAATACCATATATATTGAATACAACACAAAAAAATTGAGATTTTTGAATATACTTTAACACGCCTTTTATCTTATTTATAATTCTATTTGTTACATTGATACGATACTTCGTCTTTAACGCCCGCATATAAATTTTGCCTTCGTCAATTTTTATAATTTCACAAATGGAACTCTTGTACATTTTTTTTCATTTATATATATATTTATAATCCTATATAATTTAAATAGATCAGTACAATCAATCTCAAACCATTTTTTTGCAAACACAATAGCGGAAAACCAAGCCTTTTTGTTTTTCTAAATTATCGTATAGAATAGATTCAACATTTTACATTAATTTGCAACATATATTATATATAGCTAGGTACATCTCTCTATAACTTATTTTTTTCTCATTAAACTCATTACTTTATTATACGCACTTATATTCTTCATTTTTTGTTTCTTCTCGCTAAAACAAAAAAAAGGGGAAAATAAAAAGAAAAGGAAAAATAATTTTACATTTTATTGCACTATTCTGAGGAATCAGAGTCAGAATCAGCTGGTGTTGGTTCATGTGTTTCTGGTGTTGATTCGGGAATTGGTTTAGCTATCGTTGCAGTTAGATAAGCGCCCGGACCTTCACCTTTTGTGTGTTCAATACCGACCCTTTAAAATCAATAATATTAGACCGAGTTGAATATATTGACGGCGATGTTATTTGCTATTTTCATTCCATTGCTTTTGGTGGAGACATTTTCTTTAAATTCTTTCAATTTAAATAAAATTTGGAAATTTATTTAAATTGTCTGAATTTTAATAAAATTAAAAACTTATTTAAATTACTTCAATTTAAGTGAAAAATAAAATTAGAAATTTATTTAAATGAAATTACAAGATTTATTTAAATTATTTAAATTTGAATAAAATTGAAAATTTATTTAAATTATCTGAATTTAAATTTAAAAAAATGATCTAAATTTGAATAAAATTATAAATTTATTTATAAATTACTTCAATTTAAATAAATTTGTATTTCTTCTGAATTATTTTATTTTGTGAATCTGAATTATTTGTTATAATAATAATAATAATAATTTACCTGTATTCGTGTCGTGATAAATTTCGTACATATTTTTCCGGTGGATCATCACTATCATGATTTCTGAAACTAACACTTCTAGCTGTCGTGTGTGATACTTGTGTTGCTGGCATTGTAAATTCAACATAACAATACTGTGCTAAATTTGGAGGAATTTGGTCATATGACGTTAATGCTAAACGGCAAACTAATTGATGCGTTGTATAAGCTCCTGTAAAAAAAAGAAATATTTTTTGTTTTAGATTTTCTTCAATTATTCCCAAGTTCAGCATTTGTTTTCTAAATTTATCACTCATTTTTGCTCGATTAATTATTAAAATTCAGATTTGTCACAGGTCAGGAAAAATTGCAGGGAAATTGGGAAGAAGTCAAGAAAAATGAAATTGCGGTCAGGGAAGTAAGGAGAATGTCCGGGAAATTTATCGAAAGTAGTGAAAAAAATATCAAACATCTAGAATTACTTCGAAATTCCTGGTTTTTGGTGTTCAAACATATTTTTGAAATCCTATAGAATTTCGAATTCTTCATGAATTTTTATTAAGCAAGAAACTTTTAAATCAGAATGATTTTTAGAAGAATTTTGATTTTTCTTATTTCAGATAGGTAAATAATTAAATATATTTAAAATAATTAAATTATAAAATAACTTTCTCAATGTAATTAATAAATTATAATTAACTTAGAAAAGATTTTAGAATTAATAGCAATTTTTTAAAGATTTAATTTTCTTACAAAATGTTATTTATTACCTTTAGGAAATTAATTCTAGATTAAGTAAATGTTAATAATTGAATTTTCCAAAAGGATTTTATTGAAATTGATATTCTTAGAAATAATTGAAATTTTCCTGAAATTCTATTAAAATTAATTTTATTTTTTAAAAGAATTTAATTAAAATTGACATTTTTATAAATAATTGGAATTGTTCTAAAATTCTATTAAAAATAATTGAATTTTTCAAAAGGATTTTATTGAAATTGATATTTTTAGAAAAAATGGAAATTTTCCTAAAATTCTATTTAAATTAATTGCATTTTTTAAAATAATTTAATTGAAATTGACATTTTTAGAAATAATTGAAATTTTACTAAAATTCTTTTAAAAATAATTGAATTCCTTAAAACGATTTCATTGAAATTGACATTTTTTTTAGAAATAAATGAATTTTTTAAACGAAATTTATTGAAATTGACATTTTTAGAAATAATTGGAATTGTCCTAAAATTCTATTAAAAGTCATTGAATTTTTTAAAAGTGTTTCATTAAAATTGACATTTTTTTTAGAAATAATTGAATTTTTTAAAAGAATTTAATTGAAATTGACATTTTTAGAAATAATTGAATTTTTTAAAAGAATTTAATTGAAATTGACATTTTTAGAAATAATTGAAATTTCACTAAAATTCTTTTAAAAATAATTGAATTTCTTAATAGGATTTCATTGAAATTGACATTTTTTAGAAATAATTGAATTTTTTAAACGAATTTTATTGAAATTTTTGAAAATAATCGAGGGAAGTTAATCACAGTAATTAAATTATTTAGTAAATTTTAAGAAGATTTAAGTTTACAATTGTTTTCTAATAGAGTGAAGTTTGGAAAAATTTTATTTAAAATTCTGAAGAATTAGGTTTTTGAAATTTTAAAAAAATTTTAAATTCTACGTTTTATAAAAATATAATTTAATTTTTCTGAAAAAGTAATTGAAAATTTTCCAAATAATTTAAATTTTGATCCTAAATGTTTTGAATGTTTAATTAAACGAAATTTATTTATTTTTTTTGTAAATTGAATTGTTATTACAATAATTTTGCGTCACTATCAAAACAAAAATTAATTTTAGTCTCTAAATGCATAATTTAAGATTCAAAATATTTAATATTGCAATCGCAGTAATTGATGAAAATAATTTTCATAGAAAATTTTTCATTCATTTGAACGTTTAAAACTTATGTTGATCATGAAATTTCCTAAAATTCTATTAAAAATAATTAAAGGGTTTCAAAAGAATATTTTATTTAAATTTTTGAAAAGAATCGAGGGAAGTTCTTCACAGTAGTTTATGTAAAATTAATTATTTTTTAAATTCTTAGACACTTTTAAGATTTTAAATTAAATTTTTACTCCTAAAAATCGTCTGTTTTAATAATTCAACTCCCCTTTAATTTAAATATATATTTTATTTACTTTTTTTTTGAAATTAGGGAAAAATCAAAAGTCTGTCTGGAAATCGGAAAAAGAATTCAGGGAAAAAGAGAATTAAACTTTTTTTGCAACCCTGATATTGAATTGATTATTATTATTAAAAAAAAATAATATTAGAAAAAAAATTTGACATGATATTAATTCACAAAATCTTACCCTGTCCTTCCTTAGGCAATCGTGGCATTCTCCATACAATAGCCTTGTGTTGATGTTCATACTTCGCTTGTCCGGAAGTAGCTTCCATAAGTTGTGGTTCAAGATTATCAACAGCGCCGAGGAATCTTTCGATGCCCTTAATTTTTCCCGTTCGCCGATGAGCGGATTTAACTGAACCATATCTAAAGTGTTTCTCAACTCTAAAGAGATATATCCAACATTCAGGAATTGGTATTCTCACCATGACATCTTCACAGGGAATTTGACCCAATTTTCTCGATGTGAAACCCGGAACGAGTATATCCGCTCTTATTTCCACCTAGTTAGGAAAATTATATTCATATTTAATGGTCGTTTAAAATTTTCCATGATCAACGATAAAATGGAATTTCGATATTTTACCTTATTTCCCGTGACGCAAAAGACGCATTTTAGTTGAAGGGGTAATTCACGATTTTTCGGTGGCCTCACTCGAAATCTTAACAGTTCAATGTAACACGCATCTGGGGGTTTGAATCTAGAAGAAAAAATTGTTAATTTTCTCCTTATTTTATTTTTAAAAATTATTTGAACATTTTTTTCTTTTTACGGAATGAAAAAAAATATTTCCTGTAGCTTGTAATTTTTTATCTAAAGGAGAATTTTTCTTTATATTTCTTTGAGGTATTTTAAAAATTTTCTCTTTTGATTTTATTATGAAAATTTAAGTTTTTTCTTTTATGCTTCGAAAGTAAAAGAAATGTTTCCTGTACATAATTTGTTATCTAAAAGAGAATTTTTCTTTATATTTCTTTGAGGTATTTTTAAATTTTCTCTTTTTCTCTTATTTTGATTTTATTTCGAAAATTTAATTTTTTTCCCTTTATTCTTCGAGAATAAAAGAAAATATTTGCAGTACCTTATAATTTTCGAATCTTCAAATTCATCTTGTTGAATGCAAGAGTGAAATTCGACGTTTTCTAATCTTATCCATTCTTCAGTGACAACTGGAATAATATCGTGGCGACCAACCACTTCTTTTCCCTGTCTTCTCATGTCATTGACACCCAATTCAACGTCAGGCATTCCTGAGGAAAGAGAATTTCAATAAAAATATCTCATTTTATTCGTCAATTAAAATTAGAATTTTATTAGCAATTTAGAAATTTAAAATTTTGAATTTTTATTTGTTGCAGGCTTCGCATTCGTTAAAAAATTTTGAAAAAATAGCAAACGGGAGCTTTAAGAGTAAAAAGAAGGAGTAAAAAAGTAGTTTACAAAAAATTAAATTTGACGACAAAAAAAAAATTCATTTTAGATTTTAGATTTTACTACCTAGATAAGTGATGTTCGATTTATTATTATTATGCAAATTACAAAATTTTTTATTTTTTAATTTGAATTTTTGAATAATTTCAGATTCCAACATTAAAAAAATTCAATTATTAACTAATTTACTAATTAATTATTCTCGTTTATTAATTTCAAAAATTTTAATAAAATTCTTCGTAAGAATTCAATTATTTTCATAAATAATAAAATTTTTCGGAAGAATTCAATTATTTTTATAAATATAGTAAAATTCTTCACAAGAATTGAATTATTTTCAATATAATTTTAATAAAATTTCATGAAAGAATTCAATTATTTTCTAAAATTTGAATAAATCCATTGAAACAATTCAATTATTTTTTTAAATAGTAAAGTCTTTGCAAACATTCAATTATTTTCAATTATTCAAATTTTTTCCTTCTTGGTTCCTTTGAGTTATTTAAAATCTTTTCTTCTGTAAAATTCCTTAAAAAATTCCTGAATTTTCAAAATGTTTAATAAATTTCTTGAAAAATGTTCAAATATCTTCTTTAAAACTTAAGAAATTTCAATTATAATTCCAAAATTTAATTTTTTGAAAAATAATTAAAGTAATTCTGAAATTGAGTTAATCTCAAAAATTCAATTATTTCTAAAATTGACTGTAAAATTTCTTTTAAAAATCAATTTTTTTCAAAATTTTTAAGAAATTTCTTGTAAAATATTAAATTATTTTCTATAAAAATTAAAAAATGTTACAATTTGTTTATAAAAATTTAATTATGGCAATTTTTTTAATTAAAATTTTTGAAAAATTAAATTACTTTTCATATAATTTAAAAACTAATTTTTCAGAATTTTAATTATAATTTCTTTAAAGAATTCAACTATATTCAACAATTTTGATTAAATTCTTCGCAAAATTTCAATTTTTTCATAAATAATAAGATTCTTCAAAGAAATTCAATTATTTTCATTAATAATAAAATTCTTCGGAGGAATTCAATTAATTTTAATTGAATTTTAATACAATTTCTGGAAAGAATACAATTATTTTTAAAAATATTAATTAAATTCAATTATTTTCAAAAATATTGATAAAATTTTTCGAAATGGTTCAATTATTTTTATAAATAATAAAATTTTTCAAAGGAATTCAATGATTTGGCAATACAATAATTTTAAAATTGAAAATATTTTAAAAGAAAAATGATTAAAAAAGTTAGGAAACAAAAAAGTAATCAACTAACTTCAAACTGCGAACAGATTACCAGAATACAACGATTATTAATATAGATAATTAAATTTTTCGAATATATATCCATTCTAAAAATATTTTTAATTAAAATTTTGTAAAATTTAATTGAAAATAATTTATTATTTTCAAGTATTTTGTTACAATATTTTTTGAAAATCAACTTTTGAAGAATTTTAATTACAAATTCTGAAAATAATTGAATTATATTAAAAATTTTAATAAAAAATCTTTAAATGTAAATTCAAAAATGAAAATTAGTTTCTAATTTTTTAAAATTAAATATTTTCCGTAATTTCAATTACAATAATAATTCAAATACATACAGTTCCAATTATTATAAAAAATTGAGTTTTGTATTTAAATTCTTAAATTTTCTAGAAGAACTTTCTGAAAATTATTTGAAATAATTGATTTAAAGATGAAGTTTAGTTAAAAATTATGTAAAAAATAATTTAATTCAGAAAGGGTTATAATTGTAATTTTTAGAAATTTTTAAAATTCATAAATTTTACTCATTTTCCGTAAACTTTCATATTTTCCTGTAAAAAGAATTTTGTCAGGGAAAATAATTTTAATGTCAGTAAATTGTTAGGGAAATTGATAAACTGAAACTTATGACCACCCTGCTGTTATTGGTATTTATTTTTTTTTTGTTGCAAATTTTCCTAAATACCTGAGAGAAAGCCTAAGAAAAATAGTCGAACTCGAGCTATTTGTTTCTCTATATGGCCTTCTGAACTTTGTTCCACATAAAGTTCATCGACTACTGATATTTGAACCTCTTCCATTTTATACTGCAAAGCTCGATCCCTATGTGCTGATAATCTAAAAAGAGCTTCTTCAATTGCCGAAGAAAATTCCTTCATATCCTCATAATTATGAGATGCTATTTTAAAAAGTTGTGATATCTGTAAGGAAAATAATTACTATTTTAATTTAATAATTTTCCTTTTATTTTAATTTTTAATTTCAATTATTGTTGAAGAAAAAGTCGAATTTTTAAAGTTTCAAAGAAAAACATTGAATGTTTAGTAATCGAAAAAGAAAATATTAAATGTTTAATGTTCAAAAAGGATATGTTCGGAAAAGAAAATATTGAAAATTTAATGTTCGAAAAAGAAAATATTGAATATTTAATGTTCGGAAAAGAAAATATTTGACGATTTTGTTTTTTTTTCTTATACCTGAGGTGCATGTTCGACGGGAAGACCTAATTTCTTCAAATCACTACCAAATTCCTTGACGCCCTGATAATCGCCCTGAATTGCATAAGCTGCGAATTGGCTTAATTTGTTTGTTAATCTTTCAGCTTTCGTCACTTGACCGGGACGAACGCCAGGCCTCTCCTTATAGACGATATATTGCAATTTGACAGTAAATATTTTGCCATAGTGATCAAATTGCTGGGCTCCAATTTCCGATACTGAATAGCACGGTAGTAGGGGCAATTCTTGAAATGGATCCTTATCGTCCTTAGTCTGGAATAGTTGAACAGCCGGATTGTCGCCCTGATAGACGAGTCGAACGAAGATTTTCTTCCAAAATCTCTGTCCTGTTATTTTCTTCTTGTTCGGCTGACGGAGTTGCATTTCCCAACCATCGCCTGTGTATGTCACTCTTGGAAAATCTTCCAATGGTTGACTGACGTCCTCGTCAAACAGAGGCGTTGGCGGTGTCTCCTAATTTGGAAAATTTATCGTTTATTTATTATCTTCTGATTTTGCTAAAAAAGTTTCCTCGCTTCTTTGTAAATTTGAATTGAATTCTAATTTGATTTTAGATTTATTTGAATTTTAGGCACAATTATCAATTGTGATTGTGACACAGAATCAATTATTTATTAAATTTGAGAGTTGAGAATCTTACCTGAGAATCGGTACGTTTAATTTCAGCCTGTTCAATATTAGACGGCGCGTAAGCTTCTTGAGCAAAACCAGCAGACTTGTCGAAAGGATTGAAGCGCAAAGTAGCATCAGAGTAAGCGGAATTTTGCGGACTTTTAGGTGGAGGTGCGAGTATTGGAACTGGACCCTCTTCACCTTGTCTCAGTTGCTCTCCTTCTTTAGGTCTGTTGCGAAATTTCAATTTTTCAACTTCGAATACATATTTCAAGGATTTTCTATTTTTTTCCTATTTTACTATTTTTTTAGTTTCTTCTTTCCCTCTTTTTCTATTTTTCTATATTCTTTTTTTTTCTATTCCACTATTTAATTTTTTTTTTACTATTTAATTAGCAATACAAAACGCGAGCGTGAAATTTTATAGCCCATTGTTAGGAACAAAGACTTCTTTTTTGAAATTTAATGAAAATTTATTATTTTTTAAAAAATATAATTCTTCAAAAAAACGATTATATTTTAAAACAATCTTTAAAAATGTAATAAAATTAAATTCATTCAAATATAAAATTTATTTTAATAAAATTTTAAAAAACTTTTAATTTTGTTTTAATTTTTAAAATTATTTTCGGGAATTGAATTATCTTGAAAAAAATTTTAATTAGTTTTTTAAAAACCTAATTTTTTTTAGAATATCTATATTAAATTATTCAAAAATTCAATATTTTTTGTTAAATAAATATTTAGAAACTTATTGTTATCTATTTAAATTGAAATTTCAAATAATTTCAATGTAGAAACTTTTGAAATTTAATTATTAAAAATAATTAAATATATAATAATATTTCAATATTATTACTTTTCAAATTTTTTAAATAATTAAATAAATTCTGTTATATCGCTTCTAATATTCAACTATTTTTCCAAATTTTAACTGAAATTCTCTTTCAATTCAATTCTTATTAGAATTCAACGATAATTGAATTTTTTAAATACAAAATTTTTTTGTAAAATTTAATTATTTTTAAAATTTTTACTTTGAAAATAGTTAAATTCCTGAAAATAATTTTAGAAAATAGAAAAAATAGGAAATTTTCTAAAAATTTCGTTAAAATAAATTTTATACTTCAAACAATTTTATTTTCTCATTTTAAAAAATTATTTTTTTAATGAAATTTGAGAAAATTTCCTATTTATTCATTTTTTTAAAAATTATTTTCGGAAATTCAACTATTTTTAAAATAATTTAATTGATATTTTTTAAAAACCTCATTTTTCGGAATTTCTAAATAATATTTTTCAAATTTCATTAATTTTTGTTTAAATTAATATTTGAATACTTATTTTTATTTAATTTGTCCACCAGGAATTAAAATTTCAAAATACTTTCAATGTAAATCCTTTTGAAATTTAATTATTTCGAAAAATTAGAACTGCAATTTTTCAATTCTTCAAATATTTTTTAAAATTTTAACTGAAATTCTTTTTCAAATCAATTCTTATTAATACGTTGTGCGAGAATTCAATTATTTAATTATACAAAAATAAGTGATAAAATAATTGATTATTTATAAAAATTGCAACTGTAATTCTACTTAAATGGATTTTTTTTAATTTGAGAAAGAAAGTTCGTGGACTATTTAAGATTTTGAATAATTTTTTTAATACTTTTGATAAAATTTCCGCATTTTAGTTATTTCTCTGTTCTGTGAAAATCATGTTATTGTAAAAATTCTAATTATATTAATTTCACTAAAACAATAATTTCTTTTATTTACAAATTATAATTGTCTAACTTTTGACATGAGAGTTTTAGCTATAAAATAATTTCGAATCAAAAAGTCCTAACTTCTCCTGAGGGCAGAATATCTCGATTTTTATTATATTTAAATAAATAATTTTCTTTTTTTCTATTTACTACTTTTCTATTTTTTTCTATTTTCTTTGTTTTCTATTTTACTATTTAAATTTCTTTTTCTTCATTTTACTGCTTTACTATTTTTCTATTTCTTTTTTTTCTATTTTACTATTTAATTTTCTTTTTCTCGATTTTACTATTTTACTATTTTTCTAATATTTATTTTTTTTTCTCTATTTTTCTGTTTTTCTATTTCCCTTTTTTACTATTTAATTTGTTCCCCTATTTTTCTATTTTTCTTTTTTAGAAGACAAAAATAAATTCGGGGAGAGCAATACATACTTGATATATACACTAAAATCGGGAGCATCGTCAGAATCTCCAGATTCGGTTCGTTTCATTGCAGCTTCTTGCGGTGGTGCTGTCATACTCAGGAAGGAATCGAATCCCTCCGATTCATCAAATCCAGTGAAAGCAGCGTCTGAACTCGCAACTGTTGAATCTCCCCATACTAAAAAGTTTCCATCAAGAAGAATATTATTTTATTAGCAAAATATAAAAAATAGAAGGAGAAGAAAATAGAAAAAATAGAAGAAGAAAAATATATAAAAAAATATCATTTTTCTTCTTCTTCTTAAATGACTTGTGACTACGTCGAGAATGGAATAAAATAGAACAGAAGAAGAAGAAGAAGAAAATAGAAAAAAGAATAGAATAGAAGAAAAAATAGAAATTACAAACCATCGTCGGAAGTATCCATTCCCATTGAACCACCAGAGAAAGGATCGTAAATATTGTTTCCACTTGGTTCGGCAGCCTTATCAAATTTCGATGCAAACGCATCGAATGAATCGGCAGTCTCCTCCATTACATTGGGGAAATTATTTATTTCATTTGTAAAGTAACCATCATTTTTGGCGAAATCCGTTGGCGTTGTTTTAAAATCCAAATCATTTATTGCTGTTGAATCAACAGCGGGGGTAATATTATTACTTGGAATATCGTTTGCATTGTCACGTGTGTAAACACTTTCTATAGATGTAAAGAAAGATCCATCGCTTGTATTTGTTGGTGAAATTGCTGTAAACATTGTTGATCCCATTTCGGGAGCTCCGAAATTTGTTTTTTCAGTCACGGAAGACAAATTTGCATCTGACGATAATATATCAGATCCTGGTGACATAGATTTTTCGGTAATTACCGTTGGTAACACCTCGTTTGCGTTTAATGGTAATATCGTTTCTGATGCTAGATAATCGGGCATTGTTGATTCTGTTCCTGTCGAAAAAGAAAATGGTAATTCATTTTTATCCATTACTTGTTGATAATGTTAATTTGTAATTAGTATGATTAAATTAAACTTTTTAGGAAGTATGATTGTTCGGTTAAGTGACAGTTTCGATTAGGGGTAATTCAGTTTAATTTCAATTCGGATTTATGTCAATTCAGGATATTTGACAGTTAGAAAAATTCTCCAGCTTCTGGAAAAGTCGTAGGAATTTTCTTTAATCTTCTGGAATTTTTAGAAATAATAATCTAACTTTAGTTATACTTTCTGTATTCAGGGTTTCCGCCGTTCAGGAAAATTAGGAAAAATTCAGGGAATTATGTTAATACTGGAAAATTAATTAGTATTTAATTAATTTCATTTCTTAGAAATGATTTTTGAAATTATTAAATGTCAGATTTAATTTAGTTCTATAACTCCTCCAGAAATACAATTAATTTGAAACCAGAATATTAAAAATGTAATAAAATCCTATAGAATATTTTTAATATTCTGATTTCAAAATAAATGAATTTTTGAAAGTCTTACAGAATTAAACAGAAGGTTTTAAAATTGCAATTTTTGAAAATTTGAATTATTATAGAAAAACATGTACAATATTGACTTTTTCACAATAATTTTAGTTTTTAATCATTTTATTCAAAAAACGAAGGAAAAATTAAGTTTTTGAAAAATTTCTATTTTGTTTAAACTTTACTTTTTAAATATATTTAATTAAATAGAAACTTTTAATTATTTGAAATTTTGGAAAATTTTAACGAAAGTAAACGAATTTTATTATTTTTAGAAAATAAATGAATTTTTCAAGAATTTTAATTTAAAAAATTGTTAAATAAGTGAATTTATGAAAAGTCTCAATTAAGGAGATTCTCCGATTTTTTTAATTAAAAGAGCAACATTAAACTCTTCTAATTGTATCTAGAAACAAATAAACTTTGAACGAGTTTCGATTACAATTTTCTTACGTCAGTTCTATTTGAGAAGATTAAAATTTTTTAATTTCAAATATATTCAATAATAATTCAAGTTTCGATGAATTTTTGTCGAAATACCTACTAAAAGAAATTATATTTTTTCAAAATTGCAACTTAATTATATAATTAACACAAATTTAATTAATTTTTAAAGATCTCTGAATTCTCGACAATATAATTACTTGAAAAATTTGCGAATTGAAATTTCGTTAAATTTTATGTAAAAGAATTTTATATTTTGAAAAGTTTAAATTAAATTATTTAAAATAGTCAAGTTTTGGAAAAATTAGGAAATAATTGAATTTTTGGGAGAATTATAATTGAAATTATTGTTGGGACTAAGGAAAAAAAAATTCAAAGCATTTTCTTAATTATAATGATCCGAAAGTTTTGAACGTTCAAATGAACGAAATATTTTTTATTAAAAATATTTTCATAAATTACTGATTGCAATAAAAATTATAAACTTAAATTTTATATTTATAAACTTTAGAATTATTTTTTTTTTATAGTGACGCAAAATGCAATTTATTGTTGCAATAAAAATTTAATTTCCTTTATTTCAACCTTCAGAACTTTAAGATCATTAATTATGATTAAAGTTCTCGGGATTTAAGAAATAGAGGAATTTTGTTTAAAAATCAGGAAAGAGAAATTAAAATTTTTGATAATCGTTGGTAAAAACCAGTTTTTGGAATTAAAATTTATAATTTTTTTGAGCATTTAATTGAAAGAGTTGCAACAATTTTTGATAAATATTAAAATTTCGAAAGTCTTCGGTTTTTGTTAGTGTGTTTTAGCAATTTGTTTGAGTAGTGATCACAAGATTTGTTTTAGTAATTAAAATTAATTGTTTTAGCAATTTGTTTGAGTAATGATCACAAGATTTGTTTTAGTAATTAGTAATTAATAATTTGTAATTAGTAATTAAATAATCAATTGTTTTAGCAAATTTGTTTTAGTAGTAGTGATGATATATGAAGATTCTCATACCTGATTCAAACAGATTCGTCGAATCTCCAGAAAGACTAGTATCAGGAACAAAAGTCTCCTCACCAGTCGGAATATGCTCCACAGAACTCGTGGTACTAGAATCATCAATAAGCGTCTCACTCATCGGAATATTACTCACGAACATATTCTCCTGTATCCCAGTGAATGACGATTCACTCGACATCAGAGGATTAACATCCTTTGAATTGAATAGAATTGTTGAATTTGTTTGAATAGAATCCGAATCGAAAATATCAAGTATATTTTTAGTCTCATCAATTTGTTGTTTTCTATCATCGTCAGTTATGTCCGGCACATTGCTATCGACATCGAGAAGATCAGCGACACTGTGCTCGGGTGTCGGTGACGGTGAGTGCATCAATGTTGGACTCGGTGTTCTCGTTTGCTGAAGGCGATCCAACATTTGACTTGATGTCGCGTCCATTGCACCGGTGACGGAGAGAATGAGATCCTTGGTGTTTCTCGCCGGTGGTATTGGTGGCGGTGGTCTTGATGGTAGCGATGGACTTGGACTCGATGTCTTGATGATGGGCTTGTCGATGTCATCAATGAGTGGTGGAGCAAATATATCTGGCGCCGCTGCTTTTGTTTCTTCTTGAAAAATATTCGCGGTTTCTATGTGAGTTGATAGAGCATCGGAGGTAGGTATGTTGTCTAGATCCAAGTCTGTGGTCGATTCAGTGGCGAAGGGATTCGCAAAAGGATTCGTTGAGTCTAGGGAAGGTGGTTGGTAGGTTTGTTCGGCCGTGAAGTTTAGGAATGGATTCTCGCCTGCTGATGATGCTGTTGAGGTTGGCTCGGTGAATTGTTGGAGGAAAGGATTTGAGGTTTGTTGGAACATTCCTGCTGTGTCCTGCACAGTCGATGGGTCGTCGATTAGGAAGGGGTTTCCGCCTCTTGACTCCATTTTTGCTTTTTTGTTACTTATTCCACTGTAGATATTCCACTGACTTTCAAATTCCTCTTTGTTGACTTATTAACTATTTTTATTTCCTTTTCTTTAATTTCTCAGTGAAGTTTAATTAGGTTCTTAGTGTACTTTATTTCCTCTTACTTAATTTCTTAGTGTACTTTATTTTCTCTTATTTAATTTCTTAGTGTACTGTCCTCTTATTCTTTTAGTGTAATTTATTTTCTAGTGTAGTTTATTGTAGTAGAATTGTAGTTTACGGTATCAGAACCGTTATTTATTGTATCAGAATCGTAGTTCTGTTGCCGAGAATTTTTTTATTTGTTGATAAGCTCGGACTCGAGTAGTTTAATTTCGGTTTTGCCAAGACCAACGGACGCAAAACTGGTGTCAAATGGATCGATGTCCTCCTCCTCGGCAGCAAATAACTGATTCTCTTGTAAAGGAGTCAGAACTTTGTGGCCAGGATCATTGGCGTCTAGACAGAGGAAGTCGGTGGATTCCTTTGCCTCGTGAAAATTGGATACTTGTGCGAGATTCAGTGGAACAAAACGAGTTTGTACAGGCTCGGGAACTTGACTGAGTTCGTTTTCTAATAATTTTAGTTCGGCCTTACCGGGCAATATACTGGAAGCAATTGATGTGTCAAAAGGATCAGAGTAACTGATTTCTTCGTCGACTTTTTTTGTCTCAATACATGGTGTCAGGGGTTTGATATCGACGGCAATTTCCGAATCTAAAAGACTCTCTTGTTTAACAACGGTTTTTTTTTCTGTCTTCTTGGTATAGTGACTAAGAACTTCTTCGGTTGATATTTGTTTCGTATTCTCGAATTGATTTTCAGCTTCTAGTATTTCTTTTTCGATTAGTTTCAATTCGACTTTACTCGGGGCGACTTTGACGACGAAACTTGTGTCGAATGGATCGACTTCTTGATCGGCGTCGGTTTCAAATGTTTCCTCGAAGGATTTTTGACAGTAGTAGGGCGTGAGGGGTTTTGATGGTAGAACCTTTTCGTCCTTGCTTGTTGAGAGGAGATCTGGTCGACTTGAAGGAGTTGGAATTTCGAAGGCGACTGCTTTCTGTTGGGTCACTTCGAGAACTTCTGGTCTTGAAGTTTTACGATAAGAAGGTATGGAGTTGTCGATAATTGGGTTTATTTCATTTGTTGAAATTTCGTCCTTTCTTGGATCGAAATCGTCATCGTCGAATGATAGAGTATTTGTAGGTTCGCCTAGGAGTTCTTTCTCGAGGAATTTTAGTTCTGTTTTACCAGGTGGAAGTTCTTGGACACCGGATGTATCGAAAGGATCGACGTAGATGAGTTCCTCGGAGGGTTTTATTGGTTCGTCGGACAATTGGTTGAGATCGGTCGCTGAACTGTCGAGTAAATTGTTCTTCGCTACTTCCAGGGAGTTGAATGTTGTATTTAACAGTTCGGTTTTTTGTTTTTGGTTATTGATAACAACGGGGACTGTTATCGATTCTGGTAATTCTTCCAATTCTTTTTCGATGAATTTCAATTCTGCTTTTCCAGGTAGAATATTCTCGGCGAATGCGGTGTCGAATGGATCCTCCTCGTTGACGAATGTTGCGACTTCGAAACTCGCTTCGACTATTTCGTTTTGGAATTCGGTGGCAACGGCTTCTTTTGAACTGAAGGGATCTTCTGCTTCTTGGAGAATAATCACCTCGTCGCCGGCGTTTAGATCGAATTCACTGTCGTCCAAGTCGGGAATTTCTTCGAGGATTGTACTCTCTTTGAGGACTTCGAATTCGGAGATGTCTAGAGGTATCTCTGTTTTTGTGTTTGTATTCTTTTCCTCGCTTGAATAGACGATTGGAACGATAGTGGGTAAATTTGTTAAGTCAACTTCTGGGAGATCTTGTATATCTGTGTCGTCGTCCAAAAGAGTTTTGCTCACTTCAATTGTTTCTGAAGTGTTATTAATTATTGTTTCAGAATCGGGAAGAATGTCGTCGCCCAATAATAGATCCAGAGGTTTCTTCGCTTCGGTTGATTGGAGTTTACAAGTGCTGACGTAATCGATACGGCCTGCTAATACTTCAACGGCATTGCCAAGACTCACTAATTTTTTTCCCTTCTTGTCAACGGTTTTTAATACTTTTTCGGCATTGGTTGTATCGAATGGATCGTCACCAGCTTCCTCTTCGGTTGGACTCTCTGGAATGTAGGCTAATTGAACTTCTGTGTTTTGTAGAACGTCGATGTAGGTTGTGTCGAAAATATCTTCCTCGGATGAATCTTCTTGTTCGTCGTCATCGTCGGGAATGTTGACAAAACCATCTTCATTAATTTCATTGACTACTTTCTCCTCTTTTATTTCCTCGATGGGATTTCCGTCTTTATCGAAACCAATGTATTTTTTCGATTGATTTTTAGTTTCTTCGGATTCTTTATTATCGGGTTTCTTCTCCTCGGGCGGTGGTTTCCTTTGGAAGAATGATGTTGATTTTATACGATCAAGATCGCCTTGTGATTTCTTGAGAATTGAATCAACTCCAGCTGTTAGAGCTTCAAATTTTCTCCACTCATCGGATGCAGAAGCGTTTCCTTCGGTGGATTCTTCGGCTAATTTTTGTTGGGCCTCGGCCCGTTCACGTCGATAACGTTCAAGTTCTTCGGGATTAAACTCGTCTTCTTCAGTTCCCTTCTTTCCCTTCTTCTGCTTTTTCTTTTTCTTCAGACCCTTAGCTAACTTGTGCATCCTCTAGTAGCTACAGTGGTTTGGGGGCTTCTGAAATCAGAATTTTTCTTTTTTATTTCCAATCTTTGAAAAAGTTTTTTTTTCTTTTACTTACCCCGTGTGAAAAACACGTGTCTTTTTTGCCCCATAAAAGATTTATATTTATAATTCCCAATTAGAGCGTTGTACTTGTTAGATTACAGGGGAGAAAAAATATTTGAAATCCAGTCTCAGCACAGTATCGATTTCCTTCAAACAAAATATACCAAAAGGGAACAATTTTTTTAATTAGAGCTTTTCAACCTTTTTTAGTCTTTTTAAAATTCCAAATATAGAAAGTAAAGTAATATTTTACATTATAAATAAATATTAAAAGAAAAATTGAAAAAGAATTAAGAAAAGCTTTTTAGTAATTCCAAATATAGGAAATAGTCTTTTAATTTAATTTTCAATGTTTATAAGTAAATAAGAAATTTGAAAAAAGTTTCAAAAAAAGCTTGAAATGTTAAGAAAGAACAAAAAAAAGTTTCTTTTATTTTATAACTAATTTTTGTAAAATCTTCAAAAAAAATAAAAATAGAAAACAGTGACAGTAAAAACAGGTGAAAAATAAGTGAGAAAATGAAATATAAAAAGAAGTGAATAGTGACGAACTGTGATGTCTGGAAATCAAAAATTTTTTCCTAAACTATTTTCGGTAAAAAAAGAAAGTAATTTGTAAATTTTGTTTTAGCTGAGAAATACGCATTTGAAAATAGAAGAAAAGAAAGAAGTTAGAGAATAGAGAGAAATTTATTAACTAATAAGATGCAATAAGGTAGAATTTTTTCTCTCATCTTTCGAGATGATTGTGTAATATTTTCAAAACCGTGATCCATTACTTTTTCAAACGAAATTATAATTCAATAATTATCTTTGCTTACAGTAATAATTTATTATTACCATTATTAATAGATAATAGATTTTACTGGACACTTTTATCGATTTTAATTAAACGTTCGAAAATTCTTTACAATTTTACAATTATTATTACTAATTATATTAATTGTATTTATAATTTTCTATTAGTAAATTCTCAATCAATTGATCTCTTGTCTCTCTCTTTTTTTATTCAATAATTGAACTTCTGCAGTGGCGACTCAAAAGCTTTCCGGAAGATTCAGCAATTCTTTTTTTTTTTTAGACGAAGATTCGTCAATTTAGGAAGATTTCAGAAAAAAAATAGTAGAGAAATTGAAAAATAGAAAGAAATTCTTTTTATTGGACACACATGAAAATTTAATCAATCAAGAACATCTGATTTTCGTCATTCGACCCTTATGACCTAATTTAACTTCAAAAGATTCCGTTTAAAATCAGTGATGGTCACCTTCTAACGTATATGAAAAACCCGGCTAAAAAGTCAAGGTTGAGTGGGAAATTTTTAAAAATTATTACTTACAATTTGAGCCTCATCAGCCACATTTGATTTGTAAACATTTTTTCCGTGACATATCGTTATTTCAACTATAATTTAAAGAGAAAAGAATGAAAGAAAATTAAATTTAATATATAACACACACAGATAGATATTTGAGAGCGTGAAATTAAGAGGATTGAATTAAAAATCGACACGAACCTTTAGTAAACTTTTTTTGTTTTTTGGTTTTTTTTGTAAGGATAATGAGAATTGATTTTTGAATTTTTTTTTCTATTCTTTTAGCGTTTTTAGAGTTTGAAGAATCTCACAGGACCTGTCAGTCGAAAGCTAACCCGACTTACTTCTCCGCCCCGTGCTATTTCCAGAATCGATCCATTCTTCGCGGATGCGCACACCCCCAAGTTACATATGATACCTTTTTATTGTGTGTATATATATATTTGATGGAAGATTGCTACCGAAAACTCGGTTCAAAGGGGTTGCACATTCTCATGTTGCAACCCTCAGCGAAAGAATCTATCGTACATGACGCAAAAAGCGATGTATATTAATTTTTTTTTTATATCTGCAAATCATAAATATGCACTGCGTTTCAATTTAAATTTCCGCAAATTATTTTCATTTTTTTTTTTTTTTGTTGAAATATCTTTAAAAATGAAAATTTCCTGGGACAAAAGAAAGAAATTTTAAATAGAGAAATTCTAAATGCAGAAAGGTAGAATTTTTGAAATTTGTATTGTAAAAGATGCGCATTTGTTTAGAATTTCAATTTTCTGAAATCTATTATCCGAGTACTTACGAAAATTGCCCATAATTTACGTCCGTAAAGTTTACATCGTTTATTAATCAGCGATTGAAGAGAAAAAATATTTTTCACGAAAGCAACAGGAACTTGAACAAAAAATAAATAAAAAAAACTGAAATTAAAAGTAAATAAAAAAAACAATATTATAAACTTTCGTTTAGAAATTATTCTGTTTGAAATAGTTGATCAGAGAAACTTGTTACGATTTTTCCAAACGAAAATATATAAAAATAGGCTTAGAAAAATATTTTTAACTCTGAATTGTTAATAATAAACGTTTTGAACTTCAAGCGATAATTTAATAACAATATTGAAAGAACTGTAAGAAACGAAAAATTAATAATTATTTTTAAATCAATTTTTCTCTATTAAGAAAATTTTTTTAAAAATAGTATTACAGGGTGTCTACTATTTTCGTCTAACAAAATTCCCGGTTATTTCCCGGTTTTTCCCGGCTATATCCTAATTTTTTCCCGGTTTTTTTTTTCATATCAAATTTAAATTTAAATTTGATTTCAAACATAAATAAATCATTAAATTTTTTGAAAATAATGTTTTTTTCAATAATTTTAATTAAAAACTTGGAAAATACTTGAATTAAGGGGATTTGAACCTTGATGACGTCACAGTTTGTGCAAAGCATTAGTTTTAAATCTGTGACGTCATCATGGTTCAAATGCCCTTAAACAAAGAATTTTTTCAAGTTTTTAAAAATAATCTTGTCTCTTTATAATTATAATTGAAAATTGTATTTTTCAATTTTATTAAAATTACATTGATAATAATTGAACTTCTGCAAAGAATTTTACTATTTATAAAAATAATTGAATCCTTCCAAAGAATGCTATTATTTATGAAAATAATTTAATTTTTGTGAAGAATTTTATTAAAATTTTTGAAAATAATAAGCAGCAATAATTAATTATTTACTTAATATGTAATAAACATTTAATTTGCTCAAGAAATAAATAAATATCATTTATTTGAACATTCAGAAATTTAAAATGATAAAAATTTAAGAGAAGTTCAATAATTATAATTATTAAATAATAATAAAATAGTATAATTTTTAGAAGCAAAAAATTGATTTAAAACTGTAAGAGGGACTTAAAATTTTAAAAATAAAATTATAATTATGGTCACTAACTTCCCTTAATTATTTTCGAAAAATTTCAATAAAATTCTTTAAAAAAATTCAATTATTTTTCAAAAAAAGTAAAAAAATTTCAATGATTTGTTTAGAAAAATTCAATTATCTTGGAACAATAGAATTGAAAAATTACAACATTTTTATTTTTTAGATTTAAAAAAAATTTTGCGAAAGTTCAATTTTATTAAACAATTTTAAGTATGTATATTTTTTTAAATTAACTAATAAAAATTTTAATTATTAATCTTCGCAGTAAGAAACATGAATACATTAGAATTTTACTCTTTATAATATTCAATTATTAATCAATTATTAAATTAAAATACTTTGAAAATTCTATTTGTTAAAAAGTTTCTAATGAATTTCTTTAACAAATTTAATTACATATTTTCAGTCGAATTTCACAATATTTCTATTAACTCCATAATTTTTTTTAAATTTATTTACATAATATATTTGAATTGGTAACTGATTTTTTATCATCAAATTAATTATTTTTAACTAACTTAAATTTAGAGAACAGTATAAATATCTATAAAAATTGAAATAAAAATTGATTTTTTAAAAACAAATTAAAATAATAAAACTTTTTTACTTTTTGTGAAAAAATTCCCGGTTCGGTATAAAATTCCCGGCTAATTCCCGGTTTTTCCCGGTCAAATAAAATTCCCGGTTATTTCCCGGTTTTCCCGGAATTCCCGGTTAGTAGACACCCTGTATTAAAAAAAAGAATTTTCGAGAAAAATTTTATTATTTATTAAAATAATTGATTTCTGGAGAAGAATTTTATTAAAATTTTTATAAATAATTAAATTGATATAAAAAAATGTTATCAAAACTTATGCAAATTATTTACTTTTTTCAAAAACTTTTATTGAAATTTTTACAAAATAATTGAATCTTTCTGAGAAATGTTATTAAAAATGTATAGAAAAGAATTGAATTTCTATGAAGAACTAATTTTATTATTTAGAAAAGAATAATTGAATTAGTGGGAAGAATTTTATTATTTATTAAAATAATTGAATTCTGGAGAAGAATTTTATTAAAATTTTTGAAAATAATTGAATTTTTGCGAAGATTTTAATTAAAATTTTTATAAATAATTGAATTGATATAAAAAAATTGAACAAAACTTATGAAAATAATTGAATTTTTTAAAAAAATTTTATTGAAATTTTTACAAAATAAATTAAATTTTTTTAAAACTGTATTGAAAAGAATTGAATTTCTATGAAGAATTTTATTATTTACAAAAAAAAAAATAATTGAATTCCTGGAAAGAATTTTATTATTTTTTAAAATAATTGAATTCTGTAGAAGAATTTTATTAAAATTTTGAAAATAATTGTATTGTTCTAAGATCTAAGAAATTTCTTTGCATTTTTTGATAATATTGGAGATTTTTTTCTAATTGTCATTAAAAATTGTTTAATTAATTGAATTTTACAAACAATTTTTTTCAAGTTTTTTAAATAATCGAGTTGGTTAATAAATTTAAAAATTGCAATTATAAAAATTAAATTTTTGAATTTTATTAACATTTTTTGGAAATAATTGAATTCTCTCTAGAGTTTTATTACAATTCTTTGAAAATAATTTAATTCTTTTGAGAAATTTTATTAAAATCTTTCGAAATAATCGAATCATTTCCAGAAGTTTTATTAGAATTGAAATTGAAAAATTTTTAAATAAAATAAAAAATTATTAAATTCCTGAAATGAATTTTATTTTTTGTAAAAAGAATTGAATTCTTGAGAAGAATTTCATTAAAATTTTTTGAAAATAATTAAATTGTTTACAAGAATTTTTCTAAAATTTTAGAAAATAATAAATAATACTTGATTCAGTTAATAAATCAATTTTTTACTCTGAATATGAAATTATTCAAAAATTGAAGTTGATATTTGATAATTAAAAAATTTACTTTCATAAAATTCTTGTTTTTTTTTTGGATATTTAAATAATATTTAAATTCTACAATAAATAGAAAAAGAAAATTCATAATGAATTAACAAGGAAAAGGGATATTAGAAATGAAACACTTCACTTATATTAAGTTATTATATTTTGTAAGTTTACGGTTTTTTTTACAAAAATGCGTAATAATTAATTCACTACAATTTTTAAACGAAATTAGCGTTCTATATTCATAAAGGATTAATCATCAATTAATTTTCGAATTAAGCTAAATAAAAAAATTTAATTCACTTTAATAATTCGTATTCATTTTTTAAAAATTTTCTATATCAAGTCAACTATCAAAATAGAATTAAATTTTTTCATTATTTTTCTAATTCAAACGCTAATTGTTGATTTTCTCCTTCGTCCACACAAATTTACTTATCTTGTCACAAAAAAAGTACAATTTTATTTTTTCCACTAAAATTGAACCAAAAAGAAGAATAATTTTTTAAAAATAAAAATATCTATTAGTGGAAAATTTTCTTTCACCAATTTTAGAGAATTGACAAAATATTTTTATCAATGAACAAAAAAAAACATCAGATAAAAAAATTGATAAAAATATTTTATCAATCAATTTAGGGTAAAGGAAAATTTTCCACTAAAATATTTTACGAAGAAATAATATAAAATTATATAAATATATGCCTAAAGGATAATTTTCTAATTTTTCTATCAAACTTTTTTTATAAGACATTGAATTATTATAACTAATTTTTGCCAATTTCTTTCTGGAGGCAAACACCCATTTTTCCCAATGGATTCATCAATGCTATTGTTTCATTAAATTCTGTGCAGTGAATAATATTTAATAGAAAAAGAAGGAACTTATTTTAAAAAATATTCTTTCACATACATAATATATAATTATATTCTAATGATATAGAAAAAAAAATGAAATCAAAATTCTATCTTCAAAGAGAGAGAGAGAGAAAAAAAAATGTAAATGTAGATTTGTATTGCAAATGAAACAGTAGCTTACAATTCTTGAAATCCGTCTTAATTTAATGAGATATAAAATATTACGTGCTAAGATACTTATTATTTAAATTTGGGGGGCAAAATTGGGCACAATTTGCACCTCAAACAACAATTATAGAAGGAGTAATATATGTACTTTTTGTAATTTTATTACACGACTTAAAATTAATACTACTTATATTCACAAAATTTTACTTTCGATAAAATTTCATCATTTACCCTCAAAAATTTTCCACACAATTTTTCATTCCTTTTTTTTGTTTGTTTGAATTTTTGCAAACAATTGTACACATATAATAAAAAATGTGAAATTTGACAAAAATTTTGCATTCATTTCTAACTTAAATAATAAAAATTCTTCTATATTGCAAAATATAAGGTTTGTAAAAATGTTTTTGGAAAATTTTTGAGACTAAATGGAAGATTATCATTTACGATTGAATGATCCACACATTAAAACAAGTGTTGTTGAACCACTAATATATATTTATCTTCATTAATTTCTAAACTTTTGGTTTTTAAATGTTATGCCGAAAAAAATTATAAAAGTCGATTACAATTTTTTGTTTTCTTGTTTTAATCACTGCATTAGAAGTAGTTTTATTTTGAGTACATTCTATGATAATGTTGTTCATAATTTTTAAAAATATCGAAGGTATATCAATTTTAAGAGGACACCAAAAATTTTTTTTTGTCATATTTTAATTTTTTTTCCACTATTCGTCAAATTTTTAAAAATTTATATTCGGATTCATCTTGAATATTCGTAAACGATTGTAATTTTACAATTTTGAATATCAAAAAATCAGAAAGTAAAATTCTTGATTTTTGGAAAAAAGTGGTGACCTCGTAATAATTACGATTTATTGTGTAATTTTTCGTTATAATTCTTTTTGAGAAGATAAAATTTGTAACTATCTTGAAATAGAAAAATGTATTTAAACAAGTTAAATATAAAAAATATTATTATAACGTAAATAAAGGAATTTATTCAAATTGTTTTTAAAAAAACCAGAAATATTGGTAAATTATAAATATTGCGTAAATTTGAATAAATTCTCTATCATACTTGTAATATTTAGCTTTTTCTTTTTTTATTACGATTAAAATTCTTGTAACATAATTCATTTCAATAATAATAGTTTGTTGTTGTCAGTTATTTGATGCTTCGAATTTTTTTTAATTAAAGAAAAACGATAGGATGACTATTCTTTTTCTTTTATGAAAAGATTATTAATTTCTTTTCTCGTAAATTTTCACGTAGGTGCTACATAAAAAATTCAAAAGTAGACTTACATGCTCAGCAGAAGCTCTCAGATAAAATAATTATTTTTATACTTAATTTAAATCGATTTCTCATATTTAAAAGAATTCGAAATATAATTTATTTGTTATTTTGTTGATGGATTCACTCCACTCGAGGATTTTGCTTTTTGGGATGTTTCTGCTGCTTCATTGTTTGAAAATTGATCGACTTCCATCTGTGGGAATTGTAAAATTATTATTTTTTGCTTAGAATTAATTTATTAATTTACAATTACAAAAATTGTAAAAATAGAAATAGAAATAAAAATAGAAAATTCACCTTTTCTTCTTTTTCGTCATCGATTAAAATTGGTCCATTTTCAGCCTCGTACTCTTTTAGAACTGTATCGAGATTGTACCTTCGTTTGTAATTCACAAAAAATGATCTCAAATGTGATTCATTTTTCGTTCCAATCACATCGGCAATCGCTGCAAAATCTTTGCCGTATTTTCTAACGCCTTGAACCGCCAACAATAGTTCGTCATTTGTCCATCGGGCATTAATGCGATTCGTTACTTCTGGTGGTCGTAAATCATCAATTCCGTCTGTTGTTTTGCGTTTCAATGCACTCACTTGCTGCTTATTCGATTGAATCTGTTTTTTGTAAATAGAAAATTTTTTTCTTTAAGAATTTTAATCTTTTTAAAAATGCAATAATTTCTTTTTTCAATTCGATTATTTAGACGTCAACAATATATTGCTCTGATAATTCCATTGAATCCTAAAACACCTAATTTCTCATTATTTTCCATGAAATAAAAAAAAATAAAAATACTTTCTTAAATATTCTTTTTATTAATTAATTTTTTAATTTGTGTTTTAATTTGTTTGTCAATTTGTTTGTTTTAAATTGGTTTTTTTTTGAGCCCTTGACTTTTATATAAAACCGTGTTTACATGTTTATAACGTACTTGTCGTTTGAGACTAACGATTTCTGATTCAAGTGCTTGCAGATTGTTGTTGGTTTGATTCGGTTGACCTGCTAATGCTGCCAAGTCGTCGTGATTTACTACCAGTCCACGTGGAGGTTTTCTTTTGTTTGTACGACCTGGCATAGAACTCAATGGCCTTGCGACACCGGTGCGCCTAAATTATCAAGTAAGTTTATCAATTTCGCCTCTTTACCAAAAAAGGGGGAAAAAATTAATTAAAAAAAAACAATTATTAAATAATAAAAACTCTCCCTATTTTCAAGAGTAATTTTCAAAATATATCAAAGACAAAAAATATCCGAAAAAAATGAGTTCATTTTATCGAATAATTAAAAAAGAAAAAAGAACAAAAATACAAAAATAAAAAGAAAATCGTAAACTTAGGAAAAAATTAAAATTTACAAAAAAAAATATTTTTTCTTTTTTTTTATTAAACAAAGATTTAAATTCACTGACCTCCAGTGCAGATAGCAGCTATGACACGCGTGTCCCTTGGGTGTAGAACGAACGCTATGACAAGCAACGCCGCAGTTGCTACACGACCCCTATAACACATAACACCCTTTATTTTTAACTCGCTTTTTACCTCATTTTGTTAACATTTTATATTTAACAAAATTTACCATAAAGTAAATTAACTTTCACAGTAAAAAAAGAAAAAAAAATTATTTATAGATGGGAAAACAATAAAAAAACAAAACAAAAACAATTTTATTTACAGGAATATTCTAACCAAGTGCAATAATTTAAAGAAAAAAAAATTCTTTTTGGTTTTCAAAAATATTTGTGTTAACGAAATGAAATAAAAAAGGAGGGGTGTCAATAAGGGTATTATGCGAAATCTATTCAACCCCCGAGAGACTATTTTTTAACTCTTCCCACTCTCCTAACAGTTTCATTTTTAATGATAAAAAAAATTTATTTTTTGTATAAATTCTTTTTATCTAAATCTATGTTTCTATTTAAATCTATTTTTTTTGTCTAAATCCATTTTCTTTTAATTGGGTGTTTTATTTTTTCAATATTTGACGAAATCCGTTTTTCGAGACCAAAATAATGGCCTTATTGACACCCCACTTATAATAAGGAGGAAAAAAATGGCCATATTGTGTTTTTAGGATTTCGTTAATTATATATATATATATATAAAAGTCAGGGTATTCCAATGTTCTTCGAGAATTTGCCTCGCGAGGATTTATCAATAGGAAAAAAAATTTACGCTCCTAAACGAACGTATTCTTGAATTAAAATCGAAAAAATTAAGGAGACTGTAAAAGAGAAAAATTGTCAGATATAAAAATTACTCTTTTACTTCTTTTTTATTTTGTGACGAAAGGCGATAATTATACGACGTTTTTTCTATCAATCGCCTTTTTTTAGTATCGTGAGTAAGTTTAATTAAATTTGTCATTTAAATTTCATTTTTCGACGTAGGATCTGAATATTGACGTCGAAATATTTTCAATAAAAATTTATAGGTATTATGGACGTCGAAATAACTTGATTAAAATTTTTGTTTTCCGAATTGACGTCGAAATATTTCTATTTAAAAATTATCGTTAATATTCTTCTAGAATCGAAAACAAAATTGATTTCAGAGCAATATGTGTCATTTGGTCTTAATAATCGTCAAAAAAGAAAAAAAATCGAAAATAATTCGTGTATTATTCAAAAGTACAAATTATCTAAGTATAAAATTTGAATAATTAACAAATAATTAAAATAATATATTTTCTCGAAATATTAAGTAAAATCTCGTGTCAGTATTTATATAAATAAGTATATACAGATTCGAAAAAAAATTAACATTTTTTCTCGCTAGTCTTTTACGTACAAAAGCAAATAAATCTCTTCTTGCTGAATTTTCTTCGTTTCTTTGTACGTGTCAAAGGCAAATGTTAGAATGAGAATCTTATTTAGAGACTAAATATTATTTAATGATCTTACTTTTTCTTCAGTTTCGCTATCCGTGTTGGAACCGAGTTCACTTCCATTTTCACTACCATTCTCTCCCTCTTTACCACTATTTGTTAGTTTTCGCGCTTGTCTATCCATTAACGATGTCCTGGTTCGTGTCTTCTTCCAACTATAGTAATATTTCACCAAACTCGCAATTGATTTATCAGGAAGCTGTAACAAAAGGGCATTTGTCTCAATTAGATAACGGAATATTCGTCTTCTATTAATTCGACTATTTCTTCGAAAATCCATCTCTATTATTATTACTATTAATTATTGTAATTATTATTACTATTATTATTATTATTATTAATAATAATAATTATTATATTATTGCTATTAATAAATTGATGATAGATTTTATTATTAACTTTTCAAGGAAATTATTATCTTTGTGCTTCCATTAAAAATAAATGTCAAGTTTTATTATTAGTAATCATTATATTACTATTATTAATATTAATGTCCCTAAAGTTTTTAAACGAAAATTAATTTTCAAATGAACGAAATTTAATTATTTTTTCTTCAAATTCAAATTTTATTGCAATAATATTGCGTTGAGTATTAAAAAAAATGTTAAAGTTTCTAAATGTTCAATTTTGTTTTTCTTTTTGATAATAGTCAGTAATTTTTAAAAATATTTCATTCATTCGAACGTTCAGAACTTGTGGATCATTAATATTATTATTAATAATAATATATTATTTTAAATACCAAATATTTTATTAAAAGAAAAAAAATATAATTATTTATAGTGATAGAAAATTATTGTAATAAAAATTTAATTTGAAGAGAAAATAAATAAATTTCGTTCATTTTTGAACTTTTTGAACTTTTAGAACTTTATAATCATTAGAAATTACAAATTACAAAAATACAATAAACTTTTCTTAGTTAAATTCAATAAATTTTCGTAATGCAATAAAAGAAAAAATATATCTCACCATTTGTCGAATGCGATGAAAACTTTTACCGTGAAATTGAAAAGCCTGTTCGAATAAAACTTTATCCTCGACAGTCCATTCATCGGGAAAAGGTGTAAAATTTGCTAAATCCAAGACTGCTCGTTCTAAATTATGTTTATGCCAAAATAGCATACCCAAAGCTTGCTCTCCATTATAACCATACTTCTCTTTTGCTAATACTATATACTCATCCACTAAAAGCAAAAAAAGAAATATAAAGTTGAGAAAAAATACATTAAAAATACAATAAATTTAAAATTAAATTAAGAATAGAATTAAAAAAAATTTTTTTAGACAAATTTATAGGTTTTGATAATTACATTTATGATCCGGAATTTCGACTGTCGGTGACCAAACAAGTAATGCTCTGTCATGACATTGATCTAATCGTCGATCTAGAAAAAATTAATTTATTTAACAAAAATTATTAAAATAACAAATGAATTATCTATTAATTAATTATTGAAAAATTCAAAATAGCATTTAATAATAATACAAATAATTAAATTTTAGAGTATCAACCAAAAATTCAAGGGATTATTAAAGAAAAATTAGAGAAAGTTTTATTAAAGAAATTTTTTTTACAAATTAATTTCTTTTGGAATTAATAATCGTGAATTATTTTGTAATTATCAACGAAAAAACGGAACGCCGCCATTTCTTGTAAGTGAGACGCGGGAAAAATTCAAATTCCCTTTTGCTAATTACAACGAAAATTATAAATTTATTTACATTTTTTCAAATTTTATAAATATTAAAGTACTTTTACGAAAAAATATTGATTTCCCTTGGATTATTTGGTTAGATCTCTCTTTATAGAATTGAAATAAAATTTAGATTACTGTTTAAAAGAAAAAGTTAAATACAAGACTGTTTTATTAATTTTAATTAATTAATTAATAATTAGTTTATATATTTTTTATTAATTTTTTTAATTACCATTGAGTGGAATAAATTCCGGAACGATAACTTGATAATCACGACCTACGCGGATTTTTTCTGCTGGAACTGTAGAGAAAAATTCATTTATTTAGGAAGGAATAAAATAAAGAGAAATTAAATTTTGATTTTACAAAAATGCATCATTCTATTGAATTGAAAACGTAAAAATCGATTCATACAATTTTTACGTTTTCGTCAAAGATTTTCAATTTAAGGAAATTTTGTTCTTTTTGTCAAACTTATTATTAAAATTGTTTATTTTCGATTTTAATTTGCATAATTAAATTTTTATATCCATCGATATAACTTGAAATTTTTCAAAAAGAATTTGAAAAAAAAATCCAACCTTTAAAAAAATGTGTTAATTTTTAGTCATAAATTTCATCACAAAAAGCTTTGTTAATAAGTTTGAGATAAGTACAATTTCTTTATGTTATTCACCTCTGAAAATTAAGAACAATGAAATTGTGAAAAAATGATAGAAAATATTTTACTGTTATTTTTTTGTAATATCGACAAAATCGATATTCCTGCTAATTATTTTTAAAACTTTTCAAAGAAAATTATCATCTTTGTGCTTCCTTTAAAAATAGATGTCAAGTTTTAACCTGTAGATATTCTAAAGCACACAATGGATTTATCGAGAACGTTTTGAGTTTGTTATCTGGTTCATGTGCGTAAAAAGTTTGAATCGCAACACTTTTCAGATGAGCTAAAAAGAATAATCAATAAAAATCTATTTTTTTCACTCAAAAAAAAAAACTAAACAGCTAATAAACAATTAATAATTATTTTTTTTTATTAAATACCCTTTTTTTATGGTGAAAAATTACATAACAATTAGTGGTTACAAAAAAATCCCTTTCAATCAATTTAACCAAAAACAAAACAACTTTATCGTTTTTTTGAAAAGAAAATAATTATTAAATTGTAGTGATGGGAAAAGTTGGTTTGAAATTAATATCAAACTATAAGTGAATGTGACCTGATATTTTTTTTCAAATTCCGTGACTCGAAAAAATTTGTAATATTATGGGTTTTGAAAAATTTGGTTACTATTGTAAATTATAGTTAGCAATAATATTTCATGTGATAGTTTGATAAAAGGAATGAAATAGTTGAGAATTTTTGTAAACTAAAGATTTATGTATACAAGTATAGAACTTAAATTTTCAAATACAAACCTCCGTCTTCATCGCTCGAGGAATCGGTTTGCCCATTAGGACTTGGTCCTCTCGATCTTCGTCCATTTCGAAGACTTTCCGAATTTCTTTCCGCTAACACCATTTTCTTCGTCTATTAAACTCCTTTTCTCCAAAGAAAAGATAAGAATATTAAAAAAAACCTTTAAATTTTGAACACCACTTTGAAACTCTCAACACTCGCCACCAAGCCACAGCTTTCACACTCCAACACTCACCAAATAGACTACAAATTCTCAACTTTGCTCCACAACACTGTAGCGAAAGTAAAAATGGCGCTGCGGACGATTAAGCAGGGCTGGGACGTAATTATCATTTTTTACATTTAAATTTAAATTTCCACAATAATTTTACACTATTTTCATTGATCATTACCTCTCTAGTTGAAATCTAATTTTAAAATTTGTTAAACATTTGTTTTTCTTATAAAAAATGATGTGTTTTTCACCGAAATGGTTTACATGAAAATATTGCAACTCAACCCTGTCGAGAGTATGAAGTTTTACAAACCACAATAATATTTTCAAACCCATATTTCCTATATCAACAAATTAACATTTATCTTTCATACTTATGTTTCGATATTTATCTGTTTAATTGATTTAATATTACAAAAATTTCAAAAACATCCAAATTTTTACGAAAGTTGTTAAAATTGAACTTTCTTGACAGTTGTTTCCAAACCCTGAAAAAAGTAGGGCGCGTCATGCAATTGCATTTCAGAAAATATTTACATGATAAAGTTAAAATACGGGTTGTAATTACAAAAAACGATTAATATACTATTTGACACTACTTTTCTAATAAAGGTTCTGTCTTAATTTTTTGTAAATTTTATGGAAAAGGGAATTATATTTTGTGGATTATACTGCATTTCTCAACCCTGATTTATGAGCAGGGATGTATTGGTGGTATAGATGTGTTAAACTCGTTTCACATTGTCTTGTCATGAATGAAGAGAATATGAACTCCCCTTAATGGGTGTGTATCACATGGTACTAAACATGCGCAATGCGTATGCGCTTTAGTTGTGACACACGCCCTTCTTGTGATTTATAACATTTATGGCGTTGTTTTGTTTGGCCTGGTTGGCCGGCTAAAAATGACAAGAAACAAGAAAACAGTAGAAAAACAATCAAATATATCGCAAACGAAGCTACTATTTAATAAATATTATAAAAGTATTTTATCCTATGATGACGCAATAACGGTCTATTGGATTTTGGCCTTTTTACGAATTTTGCTTAATATTATACCACAAACTGGTTATATTCATCCCGACGAGTTTTTTCAGAGTATCGAAATTGTGTCAGGTATTTATTTATTATTTTTAAAGGAAAAATAACCCAGGTTTTTGTTATCAAGGGGAGAATTATTCCTCTTTATAGTTGTCCTTGTAGTGACAAATTTCTATTTATTTTTTATTTTTAGTTTCTATTTTTAGCTTTTCTTTTTAGTGTTAAGATTTTATTTTCTAATTTCGAAATTTATGAATAACAATTAACAATAGTTAAATTTTGTAGGGGATCATTTTGACATCGATGTGTATAAACCATGGGAGTATAATGTTTCATTTCCTGTACGGAGTATTGTGTTTCCTCAACTAACTGTTGGAATATCGTATTTAATTTATAAAATTCTAGCACCTTTTGTCTTCTATTTATCTGGAGTATCGTTGCGAACGCCATATTATCTTCTACTATTTCCTCGTCTTTTTATGTGCAGCATTTCTTTTATATCCGACTATTGTCTTTATAAAATTTGTCGAATATGGAATCAACCGTACAAAGCACGTTTGATAATTCACGCAAGCTCTTATATTACGATGTGTTATATGTCACGCACATTTTCGAATTCAATTGAGCTTACTTTGACGTCTCTACTATTATTCTACGTAGCTCGTTGTATGGAATTTTCGAAAAGAGTAAGAAATTCATCTAATTAAAAATTATCTAAGTTAGAAAAATCAGGGTTGCCATAGATTTAGGAAAATTAAAGAAAAGTCAGGGAATTTTATTAAAAGTAGTGGAAAAAAATTTGATTTTTAGAATTCATAAGAAAATTCTGAATTTTTGATGTCTTTTTTTGTTTGTCTCTTAAATTATGAAATTACCAACAATTTTAATTCAAAACCTTTAATTTTTTCTATTTCTGACAATATTTATTTTAAATAATTTAATTCTTGAAGAACTATCATAAAATTATTACTTAGAAATTATTTAATATGAATAATTTTACTTAAAATTCCAAAAATTATTCAATTTTATAAGAATTGCGTTTACAATTTACATAAATAAATATAAAAAAATTTCAATGTTTTTTTAAAAAAAATTTAATAATTCAAATTCTCCTGTAATTAGTTGAATTTTTTAATATACTTCATTAATTATTGAAAATAATGGATTTATAGAAGAATTTCAATTAAAAACTATAAAAAGAAAATTGAATTTTGGAAAAGTTACAAATAATAGCAATTTTTAGAAATAATTTTGAAAAAGGTTTCAAATTCCAATCTTTGGAAAATCTGAATTTTGCATACTTTTAATTAATAATTCAATTCAATTATTCAATTCAGTACTTCAATTATCTTGATAAATATCAAAATTATTCCCAGAAATTCAATTATTTTCAACAGTAATAAAATTCTTCGCAATAATTCAATTATTTGTATAAATAGTAAAAGTCTTCGCCAAAAATCAGTTATTTAAAATTTTTTTTATAAAATTCTTCGCAAAAAATTCAATTATTTTCATAAATATTAAAATTTTTGTTACAAATTCAATTATTTTCATAAATAATAAAATACTTTTTAAGAATTCAATTATTTTTAATAAAATTTCAATCGAATTCCTCGAATTATTCTCAAAAATTTTATTAAAATTCGTCTTAAGAATTCAATTATTTAAAAATTTGTTGATAACATTCTTTATAAGAATTCAATTTTATAAAACATTCAATTATTCTAAAAATTATTTATTTTTGTATTTAAATTATTGAATTTTCGTAGAATTTTTTTTTAAAATTGATTTTAAAATTAATTTCTGTTAGTTTTGCGGGTAATAATTATTTTTTGAACAATTCTAATTTCAATTTTGTTGAAATTAGTTGCATTTTTTAAATTATTTTTTATATTATTTTTATAAATTGTTAAAAAATTGTCAAGATTTGAATTATTTTTTTAAACAACAAAATTCTTCGTCGAAATTCGAATATTTTCAGGAATTTTAATAAAAAATTGTTTACAAAATTCAATTATTTTCAAAAACTCTCTTCAAGGTTTCAATTATGTTTATAAATAGCAAAATTCTTCTCTGAAATTCAATTATTTTCAAAAGTAATATAATTATTCTCAGAAATGGAATTATTTTCAAAATTTTTTTAAAAAATTTCGTCAAGATTTCAATTATGTTTATAAATATCAAAATTCTTCTCCAAAATTCAATTATTTTGATAAATTTTAATAAAATTCTTGTCAAAATTTCAATTATATTTAAAAATTTTCCGAAATTCAATGATTCTACGATTTTAATAAAAGTTTCCAAAAGAATTCAAATATTTAAAAAAGATTTTGATAAAAATTTACGCAGACATTCAATTACTTTCATAAATAATAGAAATTTAAGAGGAATTCAATTATTTAAATTAGAATTTGCATAAATTGAATTATTTTCATAAATAATAAAATTCCTTTTAGGAATTCAATTATTTTTCTAAAAAATAATAAAACTTATCGCAGAATTTCAATTATTTTTAATAGGTACAATTTTAATTAAATTTCTCAAAAAATGTAATTATTCTTAAAAATTTTTGTGAAATTCGTTTTAAGGATTCAATTATTCAATAAATTATTTATTTTTGTATTTAAATAATAATTGAATTCTCGTAGAATTTTGTAATAAAAATTGATTTTAAAATTAATTTCAGTTAGTTTCAGATAATAATTGAATTTATTTGAAGAAGAATTGTAGTTAAAAATTCTAGAAATTAATAATTGAATTCTTGTAATATAAAATAATGATTTTAGCATTCTGTTATCTTTAATTATTAATATTGTTATAAAACATGAAGAAGTCGATCTGAACTCCGAGGTGAAGACTCTTCTAAAACATTTTCATGTTTTATAATAAATATTCTTATAAGTTATTGAATTTCGAAAGGTTTGAATTTATAATTTTTTGAAATCTTAATTCCTGGGAAAATAATTAAATATTTATTTAAAAAAGAAGTTATTGATGTTTTCGAATAATTTTACAATTAAAGAAATTCGAAAATAAATATATTAGACTTTTTTTTAATATCTAATCTAATTGAGTATCTAATTTTTTAGAGTGAATCGGATTATTCTTTAAAATCAGGAAAAACAAAACTTTTCCAAAAAAGCATTGAAAAGTTAGAAAAAGAGAAAAGTAAATTTTTTTGGCAACCCTGAAAAAGAAATAAAATTGTAAATTTTAATAAATTGTGTATTTTAGGTAATAATTGAAGACGATCGTCTCTCAGAGTATTACGATGCGGCAAAAACAGGCGCAGAACGTGCAAAATATTACAAACTTCGTGCATCATTGCCATTACATTCACTGAATGATTGTTTTATCATTGCCACACTAACTATTCTTGGTATTTTCAATCGGCCAACATTTGTTGCATTTGCATTGCCACCAGTATTTTTTTGGCTAAACCGAGGTCTCGGTTCAAAGAGTATAGGATTTTTAGATTTCCACTTAAGAATTCTAACATTCGTTATCTATGGAATTCCAACAGTTTTAGTTTGTATATTTATCGACAGTTTTTACTATGGTTACTGGACAATTGGCGAAATAATGAATATTGAAATAAGTATGAATAATTTTGTCGTAACGCCTGTTAATTTCATCAAATATAATGCAATTGTCGAAAATCTCGAACATCATGGTTTACATCCGAGATTTTTGCATTTTTTGATAAATGTACCATTGTTATTTAATGTTCTTGGAGTGACGGGAATATTCCTGTTCTTTAAAATGCTGTACAGGTATATTTTTTTTAATAGAAATTCGAGATAATCGTTATTCAGGAGATAATAATTGTAATTATTTCTTTTAGAGTTCTAAAAGGTCGCTGGTTGGAGCTTCCTCGGATTAATAATATAAATGGCTTAATGATGTCATCTTTTATTGTGCCTGTATTACTATTATCGATATTTCCTCATCAGGAGCCACGATTTATAATTCCGATATTATTACCTCTTGTATTTCTATTTACACCGTATTTAAAAACAACTACGGAAAAAGTGCCTACGAATCATCATCATCATCATCATCATCAGAATTATTATTCTAGAAAGGATGTGAAAAAACGGAGAAATGGTTTGGGAAAATTGGAGATAATTTGGTATTGTTTTAATATTTTGTTCACGATTTTCTATGGTTTTTGTCATCAAGCTGGTGTTTTGCCATTGACATCGCAACTTGCATTTGAATTGAAAGTGAAACCGCATTTAACGCATATTCATGTGTTTACCACATCGACGTATCCAATACCAACTGGTCTTTTACATTTGAGAAATACACACAGAACGTACGTGAGTGGTGAAAAATATAAATATAAATTAAAACAAGATTTCTATCTCTATGAAATGGGCAATAAGGAAATAGCTCATGTGTATGATAGAATTTTTTCAATTGTCAATGAATGTAGAGAAACATTAAGGACTAAGAGTACGCCGTGTAGAATTTATTATGCTCTTCCGTTAAATGTTCTCAGTGAATTGGAAGACTATGCAATCAAAAATACTAGTCATAAATTAAATTATACTTTAGTGAAAACATTTTATCCTCATATAACGACGGAGAAATTGCCATTATTAACGACATATTCCACGTGTACAAATTTAGATCAAATTGTCTCTTGTGTTAAGCACCTTGTTCATAATAATGTGAAAAATTTGTTTATATTTTTATATCAATTTCAACTGTTGCTGTTGAAAATAGAAAACTGACTCAAAATTCTCTTAATTTACTTTTTTGTACATTTAAATACTTATACAGAGTGTCTACTAATCGGGAAATCCGTGAAATAGCCGGGAATTTAATTTGAACGGGAAAAACTGGGAATAAGCCAGGAATTTTATGCCAAACTGGGAATTTTTTCATCAAATTTAAAAAAAGTTTTATTATTTTAATTTGTTTTTAAAAAATCGCTTTTTATTTCAATTTTTATAGATATTTATACTGTTCTCTAAATTTTAATTAGTTAAAAATAATTAATTTGATTGTAAAATTCTGTCACTGATTCAAATATAGTTAGTAAATAAATTTTAAAAAAATTATCGAATTAATAGAAATTATGTGAAATTCAACTGAAAATAATTAAATTTGTTAATGAATTTCATAAAAAACCTTTTAACAAATCGAATTTTCAAAGTATTTTAATTTAATAATTGATAAATGATTGAATTCTATATAGAGTCACATTCTAATGTATTCATGTTTCTTAAAGCGAAGATTAATCATTAAAATTTTTATTAGTTAATTTAAAAAAAAGATACACACTTAAATATTTTTAATAAAATTTAATTTTTGCAAAGTTTTTTTGAAAATTCTGAAAAATAAGATTTTTGAAATTTTTCAATTCTATTGTTTCAAGATAATTGAATTTTTATGAACAAATAATTGCAAATTTTTAAAATAATTGAAATCTTTTTACATTCTATTAAAAATAATTAAATGCTTTTAAAGAATATTATTTAAATTTTTCGAAAATAATGAAAGGAAGTTATTTACGGTAATTATAATTTTATTTTTAAAAATTTTGTCGCAATATATTCAATTATTTTCATAAATAGTAAAACTCATTGCAGAATTTCAATTGTTTTTAATAGAATTTTAATCAAATTCCTCGAAAAATGTAATTATTATTAAAAATTTTATTAAAATTCGTCTAAAGAATTAAATTATTTCTAGAAACTGTAAAAAAAATTCTTCTAAAGAATTCAATTATTTCCATAAATTGTAAAATTCTTCAGATTTACTAAATTCTTTTGAATATTATTTTTAAAAAAAATTCTTTAAAGGAATGCAGTTATTTTCAAAAATTTCGATAAAATTCTAAAAAACAATTCAATTATTTTCAAAAGTAATAAAAATCTTGTAGAAATTCAATTATTTTTACAAATTTTTTTAAATTCTCCTAAAAATTTCAATTATCTTTAAATAATTAAATTGTTCTCCACAATCCGATTATTTTCAAAAATTTTAGTAAAATTCTTCACAAGAATTCAATTATTTTTATAAATTTCCATAAAATTCTAAAAAAAAAACAATTCAATTATTTTCAAAAGTAATAAAATTCTTCGCAGAAATTCAATTATATTTTTTTTAATTCTCCTCAAAATTTTAATTATCTTTATAAATAAGTAAATTTTTCGCCACAATTCAATTATTTTATAAATAGTAAAATTATTATTGAAACTTAATTAGTATCAATACATTTTAATAAAATTGAAATATGTAATCAAATTTTCAATTATAATTAAGAAAAGACAAGATTATTTTAAAAAATTGAAAAAATTCTTTGTTTAATTCAATTATTTTCCAAATTTTTAATTAAAATTATTAAAAAAAAACATTATTTTCAAAAAATTTAAAGAAACTCGTCAAAAGAACCGGGGAAAATTAGGACGAAGCCGGGAATTTTGTTGAACGAAAATAGTAGACACCCTGTTAGGAGAGGACGAATTTTTTATCCTAATTAAAATTTTATCTATTAATAGACGATTTTTTGAAATGTAAATACTTAAAAAATGAACGAATAATTTTTTTTATAATTTATTAATTATACAAATAATTACAAATAATTTATTGTAGTTTAGATTACGTTTCTTATGAATGCGTCATTATAGTTTCAAAACTATTATTATAAAGTAGAACACATGTTTTTGTGGCTTTTCTTTAAATGTTAGACTGAAAATCTATTTTCTTTTCAAAGAAACTTTGTTTTAAAGAAACTTTGTTTTTAAAGAAACTTTGTTTCAAAGAAACTTTGTTTTTAAAGAATCTTTTGTTTTAAAGAAACGTAAAAGGTTTTTTTTTCATATAAAATCTTTTCGTTTTTACGAATAAACAAAAATGGACTTTTCAATCAATTTCGTATCTAAAAAAAAATGTACAAAATTTTTTTTAATTTGGTACATTTTTCGATTTTGATTGGTAAAAATAAATTGCATTCGATACTACATAACATAATTTTAATACGCAATAAGTTAATATTTCAATTACCGTTATATGCTTGACTAGGACAGTCCTTTATCTCGATGTATACATCATTCTTTTGTTTTCTTACCCTTAATATGTTACGATATGAAATATTTACGAAATTTGAATCAAAAATAGCACCACTTTCCGAGAATTGCATCTTTGATAGCCGATATGTATTGTGCTGGAACCCAATATATCCAGTACCTTGATGCTTCAGTAGGACCTAGTTGAATTGCCTGTGGAAAAATTATTTTTAAAATTAACTGCGAAATTTTCTCTTAAATTTGTTTTGTTATAATAAAATGGAATTTGAGATTTTTCTAAAGTTTAAAGTTTTTAAGTAAATTGAATTCTTTTAATTCAATTTTTATTACAATAATTTTGCGCCACTGTCAAAAAGAAAGTAATTATAGTTTTTAAAAGTAAAATTTAATTTTTAATTCTTGCATTCAGTAATTTTTGAAAATATTTTTAATAAAAAATATTTTCTTCATTTGAACGTTCAAAACTTGTCGATCATGACTTGACAGGGTTGCCACAAAAATTTAATTTTGTTTTTCGCTGACTTTTCCCTGATATCCAGACAAAATTTCGAGATTTTCCCTGACTTTAATATAAAGAATGTTCTGATTCACACTAAAAATGATTACATACTCAAAAAAATATTATTATACAATTCTTTTCAAATTTTTTTTAATTGTAAAATTATTCGAAAACATCAATAGTTTTATTTAATTGAAATTCTTCTTAAAATCAAAATAATAATAATAATTGCATTTTTCGAAGAATTCGATTAAAATTGTTTTTAAAAAAATTGAATCCCTAAAAAGAATTGAATGATTGCAAAGAACTTTATAAAAAATTTTTAATTAATTGAATTCTTCCCACGAATTATAATAAAACTTTTAAGAATAATTGCATTTTTCGAGGAATTCCATTAAATTCTGCAATTAATTGAAATTGAAAATAATTGAATCCCTGAAAAAAAGAATTTTAATATTCATGAAAATAATTGAATTGTTGCGAAGAATTTTATAAAAAAATTGTAAACAATTGATTCTTTTTGAAATATTTAAACAAATTCTACTTTAAATAATTGAATTCCTGTTAAATTTGTATTATTTATGAAAGTAATTGAATATTTGCATAAAATGTAATTGAAATTTTGCCAAGAATTTTATTAAAATTTTTTAAAATAATTTAATTTTGGCGAAGAATTTTGCTATTTATAAATTAATTGAATTCTTGACGAGATATTCGTTAATTTTTTTAAAAATAATTGAATTTCTGCGAAGAATTTTATCACTTAAATAATTGAATTGTTGTGATGAATAATGTTATTTTTGAGAATTATTGAATTTTGACAAAAATTCTATTAAAATTTTTGAAAATAATTCACTTTCGGCGAAGAATTTTGCTATTTATAAAAATAATTGAAATCTTGACGAGAATTAAAAAAAAATTTTGAAAATAATTGAATTTATTCGAAAATTTTCATTGCTTTTGAAAATAATTGAATTCTTTTGACGAATATTTTCATTGCTTTTGAAAATAATTGAATTCTTTTGATGAATATTTTTATTTATGAAAATAATTAAATTCTTTTGATGAATATTTTTATTTATGAAAATAATTGAATTCTTTTGATGAATATTTTCATTGCTTTTGAAAATAATTGAATTCTTTTGATGAATATTTTTATTTATGAAAATAATTAAATTCTTTTGATGAATATTTTTATTTATGAAAATAATTGAATTCTTTTGATGAATATTTTATTTATGAAAATAATTGAATTCTTTTGAAGAATATTTTTATTTATGAAAATAATTGAATTTTGCAAAAGAATTTTATTAAAATTCTGATAATAATTGAATTTCTGTGAAGAATTTAATTTCAACAGAATTGAATTTAAAATTGTTAAAAAAAAATTAGTTTTACAGAATTATTAATTAAAAGTATGAAAAATTCAGATTTTCCAAAGATTTGAATTTGAATCCTTTTTCAAAATTCAATTATTTTTTTCCAGTACTTTTAATAAAATTCCCTGACTTTTCCTTGATTTCCTTGACCTGTGGCAATCCTGTTTAAGAAAAAATATCTTTCTATTGAGAAAAGAATATCAAACGTACCATAATGTGATATTCTGGATGATCGTGAATTGGTTCACTGTGAACGCCTTTTATCGAATTCATTGAAATTTTTTCAGTCCTTTCTTTTGTGCCAATCCATAACTGGTCATTTTCTAGTTTAAATGTCAATCTGACTTTACCGCCTGATTTATTAAGCATTCCAGCCAGTGGGACGTCAGGCAATGGCTCCTAATTAATATTTGAAAATTAATTAAAGTTAAAAAAAAATTTCAAACAATATTCTTGTACATAAAGGAAAGAGGTAATTACCTTAGAATCTAAAATTCCGGGCATCGCATCTTCAGGGACGCCTTTATCGAGTACTTTTCGATGCAACTTTTGTTGTGATAATGGTTCTTTGCTTGAAGCACTTGCAGATTCTTCGGCGAATTCGTGCTTTGTAGGGATTGACACAGCCAGCACATCATCCAATTTCGAACCCACTATCATTACTTTAGCACCTGAATTAAAAAAAAATTTAATTAGAATCATAAAAGTTTTTATTCCTCAAAATTGAAATGATTAAAAATTATTATTTCCATTTCAAATAATTAAGAATTTTTATTCTTTAAAATTGAAATAATTAATTTATTACTTTAATTTTAAATGATTAAAAATTTTTATTATTTAAAATTGAAATGATTAAAATTTTCGACTAATTAAAAATTGATTGGAAATTTTTCTTCTATTATACCTTTTACTATTCCTAAACTTTTCAATGTTTGATTATCCTTGGCTAGACCTTTGAACATAACTTTTTGCATAGCCTCAGGTACGGAGATAATATTTTGAAGATAGTGTTTTAATTCTAACACTGTTCCGTCCGCCTGAAAATTGACGTTAATCTTTTGCTTGTTATAGATTACTTTGAAGTCTATGTTCTCTTCTGATTTATTATCCGAGGTAGTGGCAGTGGCATCTTGTGCTTGTATCGTATTATCAATACACCCATCAAATGTATTATTTGACGAATTGTCATTAGTTTTTGTATTTGTTATTACTTCTGATGTGGAATTTGAATTACAATTGTCATTGGTATCACTCTTGGTCGTATCTAAAAATAGAAAATTAATCAAACTTTGATTATAAATAACATTTTCCAATACCTAACATTTCGAATACTTTACTCTTTAATTAATAAAATAATTAATACTTTTAAATTCTCCTTTTTGAAGAATAAGAAAAAGATCAATTTAGAATAAATTTTTTCTTTAGAATAAACAGAAAAAAATGTTTAGGTTACATTAATGACAATACTTCTTTGTCTATTTTATAAATAATTTTTACACGTCAATAAATAATATTTACAAGTCTGTAAATTTAGGTAAATATTCGAAAGATTTATTTAATTGTTTACACTGCGAAAAATTGATATATTAATGTAAACTATTCGAAATATGTGTAAAAATGTCTCTCGGTTGAGAAAATAGTTTAGACAAGGAAAAATTGAATAAATATTTTACATATTTATATTAATTTATTCAATTGTAAATATTATATAAAATTATACCTTGATAATCCATTGTGTATAGAATTCAATATTCATAGGTAAATAACAAAATAACTTGAGTTCTTAATTATTTCTATATAAAAACAATTTTTTAATTTAAATTGTTGCTTATAAGGGAAATTTGTTTAAAAGGTTAGAAACAATGATCAACCATTCTTTGGGAAAATATTTTCTTTTTCTTTTATATGTACACACATACATATAAACACAAATATTAAGAAGTGATCACGTGACCATTTTGTTACGCCACGGTTTTTGTTATAAACTTTAGTGGTAGGAGTGGATTTTAATTTTGTTTGAATTTTTGTTGCCAAATTTGTCCACTGCGCTAGTGTCGTAAAGGATAAAAACGAACCGTGTGTACTGACCATAATAGTGTAGAAGAAGTTGTCCAGTTCTCGGTTCCCAACCCTGCCAATCAAGTGTTTTTTAAAGGTAAATTTAAATTATTTGAATCAATTTAATTACAGTTTTTAAATAATGAATCTCTGCGTTAAAGCATTAAAATCGAAGAAATGTTTAATTAAATGTGTGGAAATGTATTATTAATGTAAATAGGTTAAATTATTTTGTCAATGTCAGTAGTTTCTTGAAAATGTGCCTTGAAATCATGATGCACAGTGTGATAGTGTGATTGTGATATTTTGTTATTGTTGTTGTTGTGTGTTTTCTATTGACGGTCAGACGGTATATTGACAAGTTTTACTTTAGTAAAATTGGTAAAATTTAACGAATTTAACTTAGCATTTTCAAGTAAAATATTATTTTTCGAGAAAAAGTTCCACTTAATAAACAAAGGTATGTAAATTAATATCGTAAATGCACTTATAAAATAAATTCGCTCCTTGCGGCAACTTAACCTAAAAATGCTATAAAATTCTATTCCATCTGACAAAAGATTATATTTTTAATTTTAGATGAGTCGTAAAGAAGCATTAACACAATTTATTCAACAAATTCATGGTCGTCCGGTGGTGGTCAAACTTAATAGCGGTGTCGATTACAGAGGTAAGCATTAAACGTAAAATTTAACGCTTTTTAACTTTAAAAAAACCATAAAGAAATCTAATTAATAAAATGGAAAAAAAACAATTATTAATTTCTTTAAAAATATTTACCTGAGTTATGTTTAAAAACTAAAGATAATTCTCATCAAATTTTCAATTATCTTTAAATAATTAAATTCTTCTACAATATTAAATTCTTGTCAAAAATTTGAATAAAATTCTTGGCAAATAATCAATTATTTTCAAAAATTATTCTCAATTCAATGTTTTTCAATATTTACTATTTTAATAATATTTTTCAAAAGAATTCAATTATTTAAAAAAAATTTTGATAAAATTCTAAGCAAACATTAAATTATTTTCATAAATAATAAAAATTTCACAGGAATACAGCTATTTACAAATTTTTATAAAGTTCTTTGCAATCTTTGTTTTGAAATTTTTGTAATTAATCTTATTTCCTAAGGAAATTAATAGAAATGTAAGTAGTAAATAAAAATAATTTTTTATAGGTGTCCTCGCCTGCCTTGATGGGTACATGAACATTGCTTTGGAACAAACCGAGGAATACGTTAATGGACAATTAAAAGATAAATATGGAGATGCATTCATTCGGGGAAATAATGTTTTGTATATAAGCACACAAAAACGTAGAACATAGTTTTTTTTTCTTTATTGAATATAAGAATTAAAATGTAAGTATTTTTTTGGAATACAAGAACTTTCTGTATAAATTTGCTTTTTTTATTATACACTTTTGTTGAACGGTAACAATTTATTAACTCTTATGAGAACAATGACAAACGTTAAAATTTATAATTGTTTAATGGGAATTTTAATTATATAAGTTTTATAGGTTTTTTTCTCTGTTTTTTACTCTAAATCTAAATTTTGAATTTAGATCTAAAAATTACAATATTAAAATACCTTTAATCTACTCAGTCGTCGAAATTGATTCAGTTTTTTCTATTTCCTCCTCAATTTCAGTTGTCATTAATAATTCTTCGCTGAATTTCTCAATAGATTTTGTATTTGGCTCTTCAATTTCGATTGTCATCGATTCTTCGCTGAATTTCTCAGTGGATTTTGTTTGTGGTTCTTCAATTTCGATTGTCATCGATTCTTCAGTGAATTTCTCGGCAGATTTTGTTGGACATTCTTCCATTGGCTCTTCAATTTCGGTTCTTGGCAATTCTTCACTGAATTTCTCGGCAGATTTTGTTGGAGATTCTTCCGTTTCTTCCATTGGAACGTCAATTTCGGTTGATCGCAATTCTTCATTGAATTTCTCAGTAGATTTTGTTTGAACCACTTCGTTTTCATTTCTTTCTACTTGGTGAACTTTTGCCCCAATTTTTTGATTGGATTCGGTCGAAGGATCGTCTGAAAAATTTAGTTATTTAACAAAGTGTATTTTTTCAATTATACCAATAATTATTATACAATTTTCTTACCTGTCGAAATCGAAGTATCTTTACTTCCAGAAGCTTCCGGATTCTTTTTAGCCTGTTCCAATTCCTTAAGTCGTTTCAACGTAGCCTGTTTTCGTTCCAAAGCCAACAATCGATTTCTCTCCATTCTCTCCTTAATTTCATCGGACAATTCTGGTTCGGGATTTTTTGCTGCCACTGGAGGATTGACGGACGCTAATAAATTATCAAAAGCACTCGAAGTAGCCGATTCATTTTGTCTCTGTTTATTAATTTGTTCAGCAAGTAATAAATCAAATTCCTCTTGTGGTGTCGCTTCTTCCTGTCGCTCGTCATCGTCGTCGTCGTCGTCATTGACAAATTCAGGTGTTTTAAAATCATCATCAGCCGTAATTTCATCCAATCTGTATTTTTTCAAAAACACCTGTAAATCGCGTTTGTTCCCTAAATTCTCAATTTTTGCGAGACAATCGTCGAAATTGAATTTTGGATACAATCTATGACACCAATGTTCCATGCGTTTCATAACACGATCCAAATCCTCTTTCTCGTGATCCTTTCCATGGAATTTGAAACCTTGGAAGTATTTCTCAATTGTGTGAGCACCTTTCGGTCCTTTTAATAATGCTGTCGTTAATCTTGGTGCCTGATTTTTTGCACGTCTTACAGTAGGTGCGACAACCTTTTTCTGATCATCTTCGCCTTCTCCTTGACCTTCATCATTTGCAAATTCATCTCCACTCGCACGATGATCAATGTCATTATTTTCATTCCCACCGATCAAGTCCAAAACATCCTCTCCGTCAGATCGTTCACCACGCGATGACATTTTTGCGCGAATTTGCTCAAAATAATCAAGAAGATTTTGAATAAAAAAAATTTGTCGAAAAATGAAAGAAAACGTAAACACGCACTGCTTTCACGAACACATTCCCGCCAAATTGTAACGAATATAACCTCACTTTTCGTGTTGAACAGCGTGTCCTTCGCAGTTGTAATATTTCCGCAGGTATTATTCAAGTGTTAAGAAAATTTTGAAAAGATGAATTGAATTTAGTAAATTAATTACGATAAGAAAAAGTGAAAAATAAAGTTATCTACATTTTACTGGAAAGTAAAAAAACTAGGATTCTAGAAAATCACTGTCCGCATTGTCGGCATTATCGTCAGCAATTTCCGATTCTTTATTATCAATGGAATTTCTCCGTCCCTCGTCGGATTCGTTGATATTCTTTAAAAACGACACTAATAATCGTTTATTTAAAACATCTGTTTGTGACAATTCACGAACAGGTAGATTCTCATTGTGCTGCACTTCTTCCTTCGGTTGTTCGTCTTGCAATTTATTTAGTTTGTTCTGATCAACATTTATCGGTGTTCCAGGCATTTTATTTCAATTTTATTACGATAATTTGTTATTTCACTCGATGAATTTTATAAATTTTATAAATTTCATAAATTTTAAGAATATTTTTTTATTTTCAGATGCGACAATAATAAAAAAAGGAAAGTGAACGGAAGATAACCTCGAAAAAAAAGGAATTATTGACATCGGGGAGAACAACGCGCATGAGTGCTGAAGTAACCGGGTAAAAGGTATGTTTTTAAAAAAACAAATATTTATTATTAGGTATATATTATAGAATTAGAAAATGTGGTATTCAATTTATTATTATAAGCAATCGTGGTATTCGATTTCTTATTATTATTATGCAAATGACAAAATTTTTTGTTTCCAAACACAAATTTTTGAATAATTTCATAATCAGAATTTAATAAATTCATTTATTAAGTAGATATATAATTAATTATTATTGTTTATATCTTTGAAAATTTTAATTTCTTCGCAAGAATTCAATTATTTTCATAAATAATAATATTCTTTGGAAGAATTGAATTATTTTTATAAATAATAACATTCTTCAAAAGAATTCAATTATTTTTATAAACAGTAAATTTTTTTGCAAAAATTCAATTATTTTCACCAAAATTTTGATAAAATTTCACGAAAGAATTCAATTTTTTACTTAATTCGCTTTAAAAATTTCCAAAAGAATTCAATTATTTTCATAAATAATAACATTCTTCGGAAGAATTCAATTATTTTTATAACCAGTAAAATTTTTATGTAAAAATTCAACTATTTTTACCAAAATATTGATAAAATTTCACGAAAGTATTCAATTATTTTCTAAAATTTTTATAAATTCTTCAAAACAATTCAATTATTTTTAATAAAATTTCACGAAAGAATTCAATTCTTTACTTAATTCGATTTAAAAGTTTCCAAAAGAATTCAACTATTTTTCTAAAATTTTACTGAATCCTTCGAAACAATTCAATTATTTTTATAAATAATAAAATTCTTTGCAAAAATGTTTACTTTGCAGTTTTTTTACTTAATTCGCTTTAAAAATTTCCAAAAAGAATTCAATTATTTTCTAAAATTTTAATAAATCCTTCAAAACAATTCAATTATTTTATAAATAGTAAAATTCTTTGCACAAATTCAATTGTTTTCAACAGAAGAAATTTGATAAAATTTCTCAAAAGAATTCAATTATTTTCTGAAATTTTTATAAATCTTTCAAAACAATTCAATTATTTCTTTAAATAATAAAAATCTTTGCAAAAATTCAATTATTTTTAATAAAATTTCCAAAAGAATTCAATTATTTTTTTAAATTATAATAAGTCCTTGAAAAGAATTCAATTATTTTTATAAATATTCAAATTCTTTATAAAAATCATTGAATTCTTGTAATGAATTTTATCAAAAAATTTGAGAATAATTGAATTCCTTCAAAGAATTTTATTATTTCTGGAAATAAAATTGTTCAAAAAACAATTATTATTCGCAAAACTAACTGAAATTAATTAAAATCAATTTTTGTTAAAAAATTCTACGAGAATTCAATAATTTAAATACAAAAAATAAATAATTTTTAGAATAATTGAATGTTTTTTAAAATTGAATTCTTATAAAGAATGTTATCAACAAATTTTTAAATAATTGAATTCTTAAGACGAATTTTAATAAAATTTTGAAGAATAATTCGAGGAATTCGATTAAAATTATTGTATTAAAAATAATTGAATTCCTTTGAAGAATTTTATTATTTCTGGAAATAATTGAATTCTTGTAATGAATTTTATCAAAAAATTTTGAAATAATTTAATTTCTTCGAAGAATTTTATTATTTATGAAAATCATTGAATTCTTACAAAGAATTTTATAAATTTTTAAAAATTGTATTTAAATTTAAAAAAATTCTAATTAAATTTTTTTGAAGAGTTTCTCTGAATTTTTTAAAATAGTGGAATTTTTTTAATAATTTTAATTGAAAATTTTGAAAATAATTGAATTGTATGAACAATTTCTTTCAAATTTGTTAAAATAATCGTGTTTCTTAATAATTGAAATTAAAGATTTAATTATTTATTTAAAATTATTAAAATTTTTTAAAAAATAATTAAATTCTTCTGAGAATTTTATTACAATTTTCTAAAATAATTTAATTCATTCGAAGAATTTTATTAAAATATAGAAAAAAATTAAGTTGTTTCCAAAAATTTCTTTAGTTTTGTTAATAATTGTAATGAATAATTTCACTATTAAAATTTTATTAAACCTATTGATAGAAATTTAAATTTTTTAAAACAATTTTATTAGAATTTTTGTAAATAATTAAATTCTATTGAAGAATTTTTTCAAGTTTTTTTGAAAAAAGTATAGTTACAGTATTTTTTCAAAATAATTGAATTTTCAATCATGAACAAATTATCGGAATACGATTATTAATATTATAGATTTTTTAAATTATTATTTCCCTTATTCCTTAAGATTTTATTTTAAAAATAAATACGAATCAATAATTTTTTGCCTTATTTTACTTTAAGATATCTATTAATTTACATCATTATAATATTAATTTACTTAGAATATTAATTACCAAAAATAAAATATTTACATTTAATTGTAAAATTAAAAAATATTTCTATTGTTTTTCGGTTTTTTTTAATCCTTTATAAAAAGTAACTATGAATAATGAGAATAATGATTAAAAAAATTAGAACTATAATTAAAAAAATATATAGGAATAAATTATGAACTATAGTGGGAAAGAAGGGGAAAATATTCCCCCTACCCGTATTTTCGAAATTCCTATTATTTCCCAATTGAGAACAATATCGAAACTATTTTCCAAATTTTATTCGTAAATATTCGACAAATGCGTTCGAAAAAGTCAGTGAAAATTTTGCATAATAACAATTAAGAGATTAGTATATAATTTTCTCGAGAATGAAAAAATAGTGAGAAATGAGAAGAAAAATAAGTAAATAGTATATTATTTAATAATCTTGAAATCATTGACATTGCCACTTGCAAATCAAGACCTCCTTCGCCACGTGGTACAACTTCATTCAACCGCATGGTGAAATAGTTGTGTTCAAAGAACGTGGCGTGACACAGTGATGACTGTTCACTCAACGCACACACATTATAAATACCTTAGTATCTAGAAAACGTTTACCCGGTGCAGATGTGCAACGAAAATTTTTAACTGTAAATCACACATTTTTTTACATGGTGCTTGTGTTTAACTTTAACGTCGAACCAAATCTATTGATTATTAAACAAATAATTATTTAAATATTTTTAAAACAAATTAAAATTATATAAAGATTTTGAAGTTTATTTTCAAATTAAAGAGAAAAAAAAATATTGTACGATTATAAGAAGGTCAAGTTTACAAAACAGGTTTTTGAAAATTACGTACAACATATCGTCTGACGATTTATTAAAAGTAGGTAAATTTTTATTTGTCATTTGGTTTATTATTTTTTTTCTATATTATAGACGTGATAGACGTCAAGTTTGAAATCAGGGGGAATTAACATTTCTTTTAAAAAATGTCAAATCAAGAGTTTAATGGAATTTGGAAATTTAAATTTGTTTAGAATATTGTGTGTTTTGTAATTCGGAAAATTATCAAACGAACGTAATTTTTTTTATTTAACTGAAAAATAAATCAGAAGTTTACTAGCATTCATTTTTTTTTGCTTTTTTAATTAATTTATTTTGTTTATTTTCATTTACTGCTTTATTTAGTTTCATTTACTTTTTTGTATTTTTTCTTTTTATTTACCTCTTTATTTATCTACTGTTTTATTTCTCTATTTAGTTAATTTAATTTATTTTTATTTTCTGCTTTATTTAGTTTATTTTATTTATTAAAAATAAATAAAATAAACTAATTTTCTGGTTTATTTAGTTTATTTTGTTTATTTTTATTTTCTGCTTTATTTAGTTTATTTTTATTTACTGATTTATTTAGTGTAATTTACTTTTTACTTTTTTTTCTTTACATTATTTAGTGTCATTTACTGTTTTATTTTTTTCTTCTTTCCTGTATTTTTTTCGTCTTTCTTGTTTTTTTTATTCCTTTATTTAGTTAATTTTATGTATTTTTATTTTCTGCTTTATTTAATTCACTTTATTTCTTTCTCTTAATTTCTTTTTCTTTTTTGTTTCCTTTTTTCTGCAAATTTTTTCCATTTACAATATCTATTATTTTTTAACCTGCAATTTTTCTCACTCTACGCGTATAATTTCTTTTTTGAAAAAATTCTTTTTTCTAATTTTAATTTATGATAAGAAAATGATAACGAATTTATGTTTATGCATACATTCAATGTTTCTTATTCTTTATTTTTTGTATTTTACATACAAAGTTTAAAAAGAAGGAAACGGAAAAATTTTAATTATCAACAATGTATTTTCAAAGTTCTTTATCTTTCACTGTTTTTTTTTTCTTGTCATCGGTCAAACTATAATTTTATATTATAGATTAAATGTGTTTAGAAATTATTAATAGTTAGATAACTGTCAGCAATTTATTTAATCATTTTTATTAGTTTCGAATTCACATATTCAAAGAAATTAAAGATTAAAAACTTGTTTCTATTTTTTAGATATGGTAAATATTTTTTCCCCAGGAATTTTTTTAGTTTTCTGTATTAAATAATAATTTATTACAAAATTTATTGTAAATTTGTTACAAATAATTATTATTAGTTGATTAAATTTTTATTATTTTATTTATTTTGAAATAAATTAAATTAATAATTAATAGTTTATAAACGAGAGATTTAATATATTTTCTTTTTCAATTTATTCATTTATTTTCTTTGGAAAATAATAATTTTATTTATTTATTTATTAACTTTATATAGAACTGTTTGTTTAGTTTACAATAATTTTTTTCTGGATGCAAATATTTTTAAAGAATTTGGTATAAAAAAAAATTTGCATGCGTATTAGAATAAATTACTCAATAAAATGAAAATATCTGAAATAATTATATCGTTTGACCAGACTCGCGAGAAGTTGATAAGAAAAAAAAAAAGTCTAAAACAAGTATTTTAGAAGAGCAAGTCATTAAATTATATACAATTATTTTAAATTTAATTAAACATTTAAGTTCTTGACATTTTTTTAATTTTTAAA